TATCTTTAAAATTGTGGCCTTCAACTTCGTGATACAAAATGGAGTTCGGTCATCATAACCAGATTCCAAGCAGCAAAATTAAAGAAGGAGTAAGAAGGGGCATACCTTCTCTCTATTAAGGACATTCCTGAAATTGCACACATCACTTTTTCTTCTACCCATTGGCCAGAACTTAGTAACCTGGCTTTATCTAGCTGCAAGGGAAATAAAATCTTCTTTCCATATAGCCATGTACTAGCTAAAAATTGGGAATTCTGTTACTCTAGAAGAAGAGAATGGATAACTAATATTCTCTACCAAAATAGTCATTAAATTTTGTATTTTTTCTATAAAGCTGAATCAGATCTTTTAGATTTCCTTTTTTGGAGATGGTAACCATACTCTAATTTAGTCAGCAGGGGTCACTGTTGAGCAAGTAGTTTCTTTACTATTTACTTTGTTAAACCTATCTGCCATTATATTTCTCAACTATATAATTTATAAAAAAACAATTATAGCTTCATACACAGCAACAATAAATGCCAGTGTATGACAAACCATGTCACTTAGATTTTTAAAAACCTGAATATTTAAGAATGTCCTATGTCTAGATAAATGCTTTTGCAGTGTCTGTTCAGGGGATGATGTTCTACAATTAATAGAGAACAAACTAGTTGCTTTCATGTTTTCCCCATGACCACATCCTTGTAATTGTTTGTGGATAGATTAGAAAAATCCATAATGTTACATTCCCTTGTTAAAAATACATAATGCTATATTCCCATGTTAAAAACCAGATTACCTAAGAGTGTCAAACATTTGATCAGTCACTTCCCCTACAACAATTATATCTAAAATTCTTCACAAATTTGTTGTAATTCATTATATGCCCTGGTCCTAACTTGTTTTGACAACCTTTATATTTTACATGAGAAACCTTAAGTTTAGATTCAGCTAATAGTAAAATATCTAAAACATATATTCTGTCATTTGTATGAAACATTTTACCAGCAGTGCCATGAACTGGAGGAAAAGGCATTTGGGTTTCCTAGAAAACATCTAAAATTATTATGTTTACCTCTAGGATTATTTTTTAAGCTCCTGCTGTGTCACTTCAAATAATAAAATATTCTGATTGTGTTATATAGATCTTATAGAGCTGTAACTTCTTAAGTCCTGAGATCAGCAATCTGCTTCATCTGGTCCATTGGTTCTCATACTTTAGGAAGCATTGGTGTCACCTGAAGGGCTTCTAAAATATGAATTGCCCTGGGGCGGCTGGGTGGCTCAGTCAGTTAAGCCTCTAACTCTTGGTTTATGCTCAGGTCATGATCTCACGGTTCATGAGTTTGTGCTGACAGCTCTGAGCCTGGAGCATGCATGGGATCCTCTCTCCCTCTCTCTGCCCCTCCCCTGTTCATGCTCTCTCTCTCTCTCTCTCTCAAAATAAATAAACTTAAAAAATTATAATAAAAAATACAGCTTCCCCTTATTTTTCTCCACCTCCTCTTCACCCCATTTCTGTTACTATAGGTCTGGGGTAAAGCGCAAGAATTTACCTTTCTAACAAAGTCCCAGTTGATGTTGATGCTACTGGTCAGATGACCACAGGTTGTGAACCACTGATTTTATCCTTTCTTGCAAACTTGAGGTAGAATATATATGTACAGAAGGAAGAGGAGGAATATGTAAATCTGGACAGATATCCTCTAAGCCTGGTGTTTCCCAAATCCTCCCAGGACACTGTATTCTTTTTTCCCTTTGCTTACCTTCATGCTCCCACAGAGACAACACCATTCAGTCTATACAGACTGATGCAAGGAGAGAAATTACTGCTGGGTGTGATTTTTGTTCCTTTTTATATCTAGAGTTCTAGAAGTCCTGTGAATAACATATGGCAGGTGTATGGGGTTTTTTTAGTCAATTTTATTGTGTATATTCAAGAGAGCAAAATGCTTTACTAAGTGAGATATGTAGCATTTAATAAACACTTAGAGTACACAAGATAAAGAGTTTAGCATTTTTAATATATAAATGTTTGTCTTTTTGTGGATTTGAGTTGGGCAGAGTGTAGTAGATTGGGTGTTTAGTGAGTCTGTTTTGTACTTAAAAGCTTTTTTTCCCCAAAGATCTTAAGCTTAAGATATATGTTGTGTGCTTACTCTGAAAAGGCTCCCAGGTCTCCATTTATACTTTAGCTTTCTTTGCACGACATTGTTATTTATGTCATCAACCCTTGATTATTCCAGTTTTTAAATGCATTATAACTCCTTCATGCATTCTTCTCTATGAAAGTACCCAGAGAGGAATGATCATAATGACATAGCGTTTTAGAAGTTACATCATTTGAGAAGAACTTAAACTTGTTGAGGAGGGAATATGATGGCTTCATTTGAAAGATTGCCTTATAGAAGAAAGATGATTTTTTAATAGCTTCCACTAATGGGTAGAAATTATGAGGAAGTAGATTATTCTTTGATGTCAGATAATTTCCTAAAACATGTTATTGTCAGTTAATAGCATTGCTCTTATTATAAGATTATCTGTTACACTGAAACTTGATAGTCCAACTTTCCATCACCAAGTCTTTTTGCTTCTTCAAAAATCCTTCTTTTCTCCAGTGTCTTTTTTTTTAATTTCCACCAGCCCTGTAATCTCACAGACACCTTCATCATCTTTTATTTGAACTATAATTTCAATATATTACTAGTTTATGTCCTTGCTATCAACCCAAAGTTTAATTTCCTTACGTTTCTCTTCTCTACAGGATTGTTTCAAATTTCTAGCTTGATATACAAGTTTCCTTCATGACCAAACCCCACTATCCACGTAACAGTTCATTCATTAAATTTATTGAGTTCCTACCATGTATCAGGCTCTGTGCTCAATCCTGGAAATATCATGAGCAAATGTGAAAGCCATGGCCCCTACCCTCATGGAACTTTCCATTTATTTAGCTAGAAATAGGTTGTTAGAGTTACCAGAAAATATTTATTGTAATTACTCTGGATGTCTGGGATTCTTGCCAATACTTTACCCTACCTCTTTACTTCCCTTCTGTTACTTTTTCTACTTTGAATCATGAAATGCTAAGGCCTTCGTGCTTTCATACATCTTATCTCCCCCTTTTTCCTAATTAACTTCTGGCCTTCCTTTAAGACCCAGTTTAGATGTCCTCTGTGGGCAGAATTAGTTATTTTTTCCCTTGCTCTCAGATACCTCTTGTCATTTATCTCTAATAATTAATAAAGTATTCACTTATTTCTGTGTTCGTTGTAGAGCCAGAGCTCCTGAATTACAGAGATAACGTCTCCTTTTCCTTGGATCTCGTTGCCCTGAAAAGTGCCTGATTTGACAGGGTGTTCAGTAGATGTTCATTGCCTGAAGTCAGGAGACATCTGTGTAATACTTAATAGCAGGGACTGTACATACTTCAGCCTCAGTGACATGTGTTTTCTGTTTTTACTCTGCTTTTTATTGAGTATAGGTGTTTGGTTTTTTATGTGGCTTACTGCACAAGCTTACAGTCTTAATCTCCTTTGTGGAAGAAATGGTGGCTCTGTTTAAAAGTACCCATTGTGGACGGCGCCTGGATAGCTCAATTGGTTGAGCATCTGACTTTGGTTCAGGTCGTGATCTTGCAGTTCGTGAGTTCGAGCCCTGCATCTGGCTCACTGCTTTGGCTCTTCTGTTTCCCTCTCTTTGCCCCTTCCTCGCTTGCTCTCTCTCTCTCTCTCTCTCTTTCAAAAATAAATAAAACATTTTTTAAAAAGTATCCATTGTGGGTTATTTGATTAATTTGTTAAATGATCAGTTGTGTGCATCAAAATTGCATGTGGTTATGAAGCATTACCGGTTTTCTGCATGTTACATAAAACTCAGAAGAGAATGTTCCCTATCCCAGTTTCTGATCATCTGCTTAAACAAGTAAATGTGACTTAGATTTGGAGAATTACCTTATCAGCACAGAGCCCGATACATGGTAGGAACTCATGTTCTAATGAATGAATCTGTTACATGGATAGTGGGGTTTGGTCATGAAGGAGACTTGTATATCAAGCTAGAAATTTGAAACAATCCTGTAGAGAAGAGAAACATAAGGAAATTAAACTTTGGATTGGTAGCAAGGCATTTTTATTTTATTTTATTTTATTTTTTAATGGTTTGTTGTTTTTTTTTGTTGTTTTTTTTTTTTTAACTTATTTTTGAGACTGAGAGACAGAGTCTGAACGGGGGAGTGGCAGAGAGAGAGGGAAACACAGAATCCGAAGCAGACTCCAGGTTCTGAGCTGTCAGCACAGAGCCTGACACGGGGTTCGAACTCCACAGACTGCGAGATCATGACCTGAGCCGAAGTTGGACACCCAACTGACTGAGCTACCCAGGCACTCTTCTTAATGGCACTTTTATTTTTTTATTTATTTTTACTTTTATTTTTTTTAACGTTTATTTATTTTTGAGACAGAGAGAGACAGAGCATGAACGAGGGAGGGGCAGAGAGAGAGGGAGACACAGAGTCCGAAGCAGGCTCCAGGCTCCGAGCCATCAGCCCAGAGCCCAAGCCCTATGTGGGGCTCGAACTCACGGACCGCGAGATAGTGACCTGAGCTGAAGTCGGACGCTTAACCGACTGAGCCACCCAGGCGCCCCTAATGGCACTTTTAAATGGTCACTGTACAGTAATGTGATTTTAAGCAACGAGACCTTTTGCAATTCGGTTTCCTTGTGTGGAAAATGAAGATTAAGGATAATATGAAGATTCAGTACATTAATACATGAAAAACACTTAAAATGATAACTGCCACATAATGTCATCCCTCTGATTGTTAGTAATTTTTTCTACAGACAAGGAACAAATTAAATGTCTCAGATGTTTTTCAGGCTAAAGAGTCTCTGAAAATATGACTTTAGCTTATTATACCCACTATACTTGCCCACCCCTCTCTTTAGAGGATTGCCTCTAAACTTTGAGTTGAACATAATAAAATGTTAAGTAACACTAACTGATTTTGTTTTTGCAGATGTTCTCAAATAGTGATGAAGCTGTAATCAATAAAAAACTTCCCAAAGAACTCCTATTACGGTAAGTCTGAATGCTGATTTTAGTTTGGTTGTGTGTGTGTCATATGGTCTATTTAAAAATTTTTAGACTTGTTGATAATTTCCATGTATGTATAGGATCTGGATTATCTGAATTTGTAAATTTGTTGGTTGTTTTGTTAATCTTAACTGTTTTCTAGATATGAATCAAAATTTTAAATGTTTAGTAACAGTTCTCTCCTGATTTGTACTTATATATGATTTTGTTTACTTGTTTTCTTTTGCCCTATTCTTAGATAGAATGTGAAGGAGATAATACATTTTATTTTATTATAGTGCTCATCTTTTTTAAATGTTTGTTTATTTTTGAGAGAGAGACAGAGCATGAGCGGGGAGTGGGGGGCAGGGGGGGTGAGCAGAGAGAGGGAGACACAGAATCCAAAGCAGGCTCCAGGCTCCCAGCTGTCAGCACAGAGCCCGATACAGGGCTGGAACCCACCAACCATGAGGTGACCTGAGCCAAAGTCGGACACTTAACCTACTGAGCCACCCAGGTACCCCAGTGCTGATTTTTTGAAGTGATTCTGATCCATCCCTTGCCCCCACTTCTTATTCCTAAAGTCAAATATGACCATGAAGTAACTTGTATTTGCAACAAAATATTATATATATTGAGGTACTGTAAAGAAGAGTTACAGACCTTTATTTTAAAGATAAAAAGGTAAAAGTGATTTTAAACTCCTTCTATTACAGTTATAATTTCACCCTCCTTATTTTTAGTTAGTTCTCAAGAAATTACATTTGGGATCACCCACAACATAAAACACAAAACCCCTAATTTACATGCATCTGACCTAGGAATCACCTAGGAAAAAACTAGGGGAGTTGTTTTCAGTGCCCATTATTTGGGTACTTAATCATCCCATTCTTTGTTCACTTATGTTGAATATCGTGACTTAGAAAGAAAGGTACATTTTAGGGGTGGCTGGGTGGCTTAGTCTGTTAAGCGTCTGACTTTGGCTCAGGTCATGATCTCACAGTTTGTGAGTTCGAGCCCCACATCGGGCTCTGTGCTGACAGCTTAGAGCCTGGAGCCTGCTTCAAACTCTGTCTCTGTCTCTCTCTCTCTCTCTCTGTTCCTCCCCCACTCATTCTCTCTCTCTCTCTCCCGTTCAAGAATAAATTTTAAAAAATTTTTTAAAAAGAAAGAAAGGTACATTCCCTTTTGCAAATGTTGGAAGTTAACAAGTTGTACTGGAACATCCATTTCTTGGTCTGAGCTGCTGCCACAGTCTAGCTCATAACCAGCCCAATCCATGCTCACGGTGGAAAATAATCTTGCCCTGTTGCCGATAAAGAAAAGTATTCCTGGCATTTCTAAGGATTTGCACGTCTGACTCCTTCACTACTTTGCAAGCGGGGACTGTATTCTAAATCTTTATGTAATACTTTATACAATGGAGATACTAAGAAAAACTAACTGAATTGAACTTGGAATGGATTTTTCCATGGAAGCAATGCATTCATACATGCAGGTTGACTATAGTTGAAATAATAGCAATACGTGCTAAGCTACTCAGAACTGTTGGAGATGTATCCTAGATATCTTGAGTATCCCTCAAATTTTAGCAAAATTATAATGGCACCATCTTAAAGAAAAATATTTTTAAATGGGTTATATTCTTTTTAAAAAAAATTTTTTTTAAGCGTTTATTCAGTTTTGAGAGACAGAGTTGGGGAGTGGGCAGAAAAAGAGGGAGGCACAGAATCAGAAGCAGGCTCCAGGCTCTGAGCTGTCAGCACAGAGCCCAACACGGGGCCTGAACTCACAAACCGTAAGATCCTGACCTGAGCCAAAGTTGGCCGCTTAACCAACTGAGCCACCCAGGTGCCCCTAAATGGGTTATATTCTTTACTGTTATTATGAACTGAGTACACTAAGACATACTTCAATTTTTTAAATACTGGCTTTACATTCTACTATAGTAGTTTACTTAAAGACTTACTAAGATTCAGGGAAATTAATCCTTTGGTAATTAGCTGCACCGTCTTATGGTTTACGTTTTTTTTGTTGGAGTTTTTCTCCATGGAAGACAGACATAAAGGCCACATACTGTATAATTCCACTTATATGAAATATCTAGGATAGACAGATCCATGGAGTTAGAAGTTGCCAGGGTCTGTGGTGAGGGATGATGGGGAGTGACTGCTAGTGGGCACAGGGTTTCTTTTGGGAATGATGAAATGTTCTGAAATTAGTGATTATGGCTGCACAACACTGTGGATATAAATGTCCCATCTTCTTCAGTACAGATTACTAACCACTCCCATATAAATATAGATACCCCCAACTTATGTACCTCAATTCCTAAAACAATAAGTTTATTTAATGCAACAAACATTTTTGAATTGCTAAAATGCCCCTGCTTTTTCCTATCATCTACCGTATAGTACCTTTATGTGGAGTTTCATAATTGAAAGATCATGTTTCTGCAAACACATCACTAATCCCTGAGCAATTTGTATAAATATAATATTATGCCTAGGGAGGCATAAGTGAGAAACTTTATAAGTAATGATCCTAGTTAGACTTTAGTAACCTTTTCTCCACAAAAGAAAACACTATAGACAGACATGGCTGGAGGCCAAATGCAGACCTAGGAGATTCTGAAGCATGTGTCTCAACAATCCTAATTCCATTGTTAGAATGTACTGACTGGGGTTCTGAATATCAAGATCCCAAATGAGTTAGCTTTTCACCTGGATTTTAACATTACAGTACATTAAAAAGAAAGAAAAGAGAGAAGACAAATATAAGAGCTTGGTCTTTCCAGTCCTGATTTGGCTCCCTAGTAAGATGAATGTGATCTATGTCAGGGCTTAAATCTCTTCTTCCACTCCATATGTAGTCCATCCAAATATCTACTATTATTTTGTAAATTTTGACTTCTATTTATTCTACGTACTTGACAATGAAGATAATTATCTTTAGAAACCCAATATAAAGATTGATGGGATGGGCTGCCAGGTTTTAGTGAGAGCAGTGTTTTTTTGTTGGGGGGTGAGCTCACAATAAACATTTACTTGTCCAAATATCATAACATTAACTTAAATTAAAACATCAGGGAGCCTGGGTAGCTCAGTTAGTTGGGCGTCCAACTCTTGCTTTGAGCTCAAGTCATGAGCTCATGGTTGATGGGTTCAAGGTTCGAACTCTGTGTCTGACTCCGCATTGACAATGCAGAGCCTGCTTGGGATTCTGTTTCCTCTCTCTGCCCCTCTCTCACTCTCATCGTCTCCCCCCTCTCAAAATAAATAACTTGAAAAAAAAACCCCAGTGGAGTTATAAATATAGATCTATAGCATAAATCAAGAGGAAATTAAATTGTTATCTCTATAATAAGCCAGAATAATAAACTACATTATACTTAGCACCTTCCTGTTTTTCATCATCTTCAGGCTAAGTACCTAAGATCATGTTGACAGTGGTCCTTTTCTCTACACTTTAATGCTTTACATAACTCATTCTGAAATACCCATGTCTGTAACCAGAATGGTTAAGTGACGCATGATAACAACACTTATGTGGTGAGCATTTCATAATGTATACAAATCACTGTGTTGTACTCTTTTTTTTTTTTTAAGTAGGCTCCACGCCTAGTGTGGGGCTTGAACTCACAACCCTGAGATCAAGAGTTGTGTGCTGTACAGACTGGGCCAGCCAGATGCCCGATAGCTAGAATGGTTAAGATCAAAGAGATAGGAAGACTGAGATGGAATGAAGGGTCTGCTGTTGTCTAAGGATCTTCTTGATTGCTTCAATTAAAGTCTTTCCCCATTTCTTCTCAATAGACTGTTGAAAAACTGGCCTGGCTTTAGGCTACCCAGATTAAAAAAAAACTTTTTTAACTTTTATTTTTGAGAGACAGAGACAGCATGAGTGGAGGAGGAGCAGAGAGAGAGACACACACACAGAATCTGAAGCAGGCTCCAGGCTCTGAGCTGTCAGCCCAGAGCCCGACGTGGGGCTCAAACTCACCAACTGTAAGATCATGACCTGAGCCAAAGTCAGATGCTCAACTGACTGAGCCACCCAGGCTCCCCAAGGCTGCCCAGGTTTAAACAAAGTAGACCTCACCTTCCCCACTCCTGATAAAGAATACCGAGAGACAAAAAGACAACTGAGACATCATGTGGAAGAAGATAGGGTCTAATTATACATAAAACTCATTATGGTACAAAAAAAGAAAGCCCAAGTCCTTAATACTAAATCCCTGGTAGAGAACATGGGACTGATTGATAAAATCAATACTGAAAGTAGATTTTGGGATATGGTTACCTATAGTATGGTTCTGTAAAAAGGATTTATTCCTAACTTCATTTGGCTTCAGTCTTATGACAAATATCCCAAACCTTCTTGAACAGCACCTCTTAACATAATTCTTATTAAAAAAGTTAAAAAACACAGAGTGGTCCTGGAGAGGGTATAACTGGATAATTCAAGTCATACAACGGGTATGTCCATAGGTACAACTTTTTTGGAGAGTAATTTGACAGTGTACTTTAAGAGATACACATATTATAACCTGTAGAAGCAAACATATGAGTAAAAATGGTTTGCAGAATTTTCATGGCAGCGTTATTTGAAATTATGAAAAGTTAGAAACAGTTTTAATATACATAAGTAAAAATGCTTAAATAAATTATGGTATATTCAGTCAGTCATTGGACTATTTATTGTACTTAGCTGCCTTTTAAAAGAATAAGGTAAAGAGGACGCCTGGGTGGCACAGTCAATTAAACTTCCGACTTTAGCTCAGGTCATGATCTTACCACTCATGAGTTCGAGCCCTGAACTGTGCTATGCTGACAGCTCAGAGCCTGGAGTCTGCTTTGGATTCTGTGTCTCCCTCTCTCTGCCCCACCCCGCTCACGCTTTGTCTCTCTGCTCTTCAAAAATAAATAAACACTAAAACTTAAAAATAAATAAAGAATGAGGTAGAGCTACATGAGCTGACCTAAAAAGATGTCAATGATTATGTATTTTTTTAAGTTTATTTATCTTGAGAGAGACAGAGTGTGCACATGGGTGCAAGCAGGTGAGAGGCAGAGAGAGAGAATCCCAAGGAAGCTCCAAGCTGTCAGCACAGAGCCCGACATGGGGTTTGAACCCACGAACTGTGAGATCATGACATGAGCCAAAATCCAGAGTCAGATGGTCAAATGACTGAGCCACCCAGGTGCCCCAAGATGTCAAATTATTAAATGACGGAAACAAAAACAAGTTGTGGGAGCATATTTATATCATGTTTTCATTTTTGAAAAATATAAAATACGCATACATGAAGATGTGCTAAGTACTGTACATATTATATATCTAGATATAAGTAGATACATCTGCTACCTTTGGAGGGAAGAATAGGCTTTTGGCAGGGGGTATTGAGAGAGCAGGGATAAAAAAGCCATTTGTTTACCACTTTGTATTTTTCTTTCCTTTTTTTTTTTTTTAACGTTTATTTATTTTTGAGACAGAGAGAGACAGAGCATGAACAGGGGAGGGTCAGAGAGAGAGGGAGACACAGAATCCGAAACAGGCTCCAGACTCTGAGCCGTCAGCACAGAGCCCGACGCGGGGCTCAAACTCATGGACCGTGAGATCATGACCTGAGCCGAAGTCGGAGGCTTAAACCGACTGAGCCACCCAGGCGCCCCTGTATTTTTCTAAGTGTTTGTTTTGTTTTGTTTTTGTTTTTTTTGAGTTTATCATTTATTTTGAGAGAGAGGGAGAGAGAATCCTAAGCAGGCTCTGTGCTGTCAGCTCAGAGCCCGACACAGGACTCTATAGTCCTGGACTGTGAGATCATGACCTGAGATGATATCAAGAGTCTCTCAGTCAATCATCTGAGCCACCCAGGCTCCCCTTGTTCCAAAAGGTTTTGGGGGCACCTGGATGGCTCAGTTGGTAAAGCATCTGACTTCGGCTCAGGTCATGATCACACAGTTCGTGAGTTTGAGCCCCGCATTGGGCTCTGTTCTGACAGTTCAGAGCCTGGAGCCTGTTTCCAATTCTGTGTCTCCCTCTCTCTCTGACCCTCCCCAACTTGTGCTCTGTCTCTCTCCCTGTCAAAAATAAATAAAACCTTTAAAAAAATAAAAAAATTTTAGGGGCACCTGGGTGGCTCAGTGGGTTAAGTGTCTGCCTTTGGCTCAGGTCATGATCTCACGGTTCATGAGTTCGAGCCCCACAACCAGGCTCTCTGCTGTCCATGCAGAGCCCGCTTCATATCCTCTGTCTCCCCCCCTCCCTGGCTCGCTCTCTCTCTCTTTCTCTCCCCCTGTCTCAAAATAAATAAACTTAAAAAAAAGAAGTTTTTTTTTAAGAGACTAGATGCAGATCTTTGGCTACATGATGTGTTAAGGCCTGCTCCGAATTTAAAGTTCTGATACTTGTCTACTGTCTGGTGGAAACTACACCACATTTTCAAAATTGCAAACTTCTTATTCCTCACAAGAGACCATCAGTTTGCAGGAACGGTTCATTAAAGCTGTATGCTAGTGTCTTTTATTGTCAAACTACAGATGTAGGTTTACTAGATGCAGGTTTTACCCCTGTTGTAAGTGAGAGGACTTTAGGTATAATTATGACAGTTTGGTTATTCATGATCTTGTGAAGAATTCTGCTAAAAGCAATGTATGTTACCTGTAGCTATCATGGACAAGAGCTTTGACTCTTTGGTTTAGATTCTGTTACGGATTAAACTATAAGAGCTCTCTATACATATTTGGTTATTAATGTGAACATAAAGACCATACATTCCACATTAATAACTGGGTCATAGTTGGCAGACGCAACCTCCACAAGATCAGATCATCTTCAGCGTCTGAAATTAGGGCTGTGCTTTTTGTCTCCTTTTTAACTTGAATCTCAATGCAAAACTGCTCTTAAATAAGCCAGATGCATACCCCTGGCCATAAAGAATAGAAAAACAAGTATCTCATGTGTTTTTGAAATGATTTTATTGTTACAGATCTGGAGAGGACACATCAGACAACTGGTCTTTTATCCAACTACTTACAGTTACCTAACCAAGATTATACTGATTAGAAATCACACAAACCTAATGTATTCATATCTAGAAATCCCATGTAGCACACTAAACCATTGAGTTCCTCAGGTGTACAAGTAATCAGCTGCTTAATTATTAGCTAGACTAAGTTGACCAGGGAAGTTCTGTCTCTCTAAATGAAAAGCTCTATAGGAATATTAATGAGACTGATTTTTTTTTTTTTTTTTTTTACTATGTTGAGCAACTGGCCATATCACCTTCTATGAACATTTTCCAAACAAAAGTCATCTTAGCTATGCTCTGTGGTATAGAATTTTGAGCAATTCATTAACCATTTGTTGACATGCTGTAAATAACTTATAATTTTGTCTTGAGGAAATAAAACTCAGTGCAAAAGTTAGGGTGGTGCTTTATTGGGATGAAGTCATGGTTAGGCCTTTTATTTTCCATCAAAGGATGACAGATATACTTGTTCACTGATTTGAAGTACAGGGATCAATCATCAATCCACAACTAAGGATATTTCAGTTGTAGGACCTTATAAGAAATATAATCCTTGTGCTAATCTTACAAAAACTTAAGAGAAGTGATATTTATAGAAGATTGTCTGAAGGACATTCATGATTCCTTTAAGTATGCTATATTCTGTCTGTGGTGGGCACTGTAATTGACTTTCTAGCATCCACTTCAGCCCAGTTAATTAGTATAAACCTGTCACAGTGATTGGTTAAGGCCTACGCCAATTTAGGCTAATGAGACCTGAGAAGAGGCTTTATTGCAGTATAAATGTCTGCCTATCTCTCCCCTCAGAGTGAACAAAGACACATGTTGATCCAGTATTTGCTAGCATCCATCCTGTGCCTATAAAGAAAAGAGCTTTTAGGACCAAGCTGATGCTGTTCCTAGCAGAATAAACAGAAAATTGCTGATGACATTGTGGATCCCCTAAATCAATTAACCTTGAGATGCAGGCAGCCTGTTCTTTGTATTTCCTTTTGTATGAAATAACCTCCCTTACGGTTTAAGCCCATCTCGGTTAGGGTTTCTATTACTTGTGGCCAAAAGCAACCTTGGATCAACTGGACTGTCAGAAGCATGCATTTTTATATACTATTATTTTGTTTTTAACTATTATAAAGGTGCTACAAGATGTGATCATATGAAATCTGTGACTGAATTTGCTTTGGGACTTTATCCACCAAATCTAAGTAGACTCCTTTGAGAAATTTCTCTTAGAAAGTAGTGCTAGAGAGGCGCCTGGAGACTCAGTTGATTAAGTGTCCGAATTTGGCTCAGGTCATGATTCACAGTTGGTGAGTTAGAGCCCCACATCAGGCTCTGTGCTGACAGCTCAGAGCCTGGAGCCTGCTTCGGATTCTGTCTCCCTCGCTCTCTGCCCCTCCCCCACTCACATTTTGTATCTCTTACAAAATCAAATAAACATTTAAAAAAATTCTTTAAAAAAAAAGTAGTGCTAGAAAGAGCTCTGATTTTATGGTATAATGTATATGTTTCTTCTTTCCTGTTAAGAATATTATTTTGTTTATGCTACCAAGAAATTTAAAACTAAATGTGAGACTCCTCTATAGCAACTATGTAAACTCTTCCAAGGGTACATCTGTTTCCTTTCTGGCTTTGGTTTTCTACTTTAAAAAATATTTTTCATGGTCCTCATAGTTTATTTGTATTTATTATTATTTGCTCCTGATCCAAGCCATCTCAAGTACGCTGGAGACAAATTTAATAAATAAAAATAAAATGGATTCCAGCGTTATAGCTGACATACTGATTTACATATAAGATTACGATATGCATGAAGTATTGCCGACAGAGCCCCCCCCAGGTGCCCAGAGAATTTATAAAATTCTTAAAGCAAAATTAACTTTAATTTACTTAAACCTTTAAAGCATATACTATATTACACTTGTTGCCACTTGCAAAAGAGTTTAGCTTATTATTCAGATTAAAATGACCTTTACAGGTGCTCATGAGTAAGGAGGGCTTTAAAAAGACACGACCCTTGCATTTATTGTCAGGATGCTCTGACCTGTTTTTACAGATGGCTTCTAGTGTAGTGTAGTGTAGGGAGTCACCACACTTTAAGCAAATCAATTATTTCCAATAACAATGCTTCAAAATAAATATTTAACCTCTGTAAGACTGAGTAAAATTCTAGGCAGTGTTTTTTGACATTAATGTGGTAAATGAGATTTATAATTTCCTAAATTAGAATTAGAGATTTAACATTTTATAGTCGCTAATTTTTAAGTTACTCTATTATTTAATCTTTTTTCCCTCATAACCATAAAATTCTTTATAAAGTTATCCCTCCTCTAGCCCTCTTTTGGATAGCCAGAAGTGTGAAAATTATTTTTTTGCTTTTAACAAATTATATCAGTTAGAAATATTTTATCATCCCTTGATGTAAGTAACTGAACTTGTATGGTACTTGTACGTACATTCTCAAGTAAAAGATTGCCCAATGTTTTATATGGGCAGTATTAAGTTGTAAGTTGCTCCAGCTTTTGTGTTTGTTCAAAAGAACTTCTCTCTTTTCGTGCATGTATTAACATAGCCAAGTTATTTATAGGTAAAAATCAAGAGAAACTCATTTATCATATAATAAAGATTGTCTCCCTCTCTTTTTAGGATATTTTCTTTTCTGGATGTTGTTACCTTGTGTCGCTGTGCTCAGGTCTCCAGGGTAAGAATGATTGATGTGATTATGGGGGAGATCTGTAGTAGGCAGATCATTTACTTCAGATGTTGTATGTTTCAGAGAATGTTATTTCATCCATGGCATTCCCAAACCTATGTAATTCTATAGTAAGATTCTACTATATGTTTCTATCAATTTTTTGGTTTGTTTGTTTGTTTTGTTTTTCTGAGAGAGACGGGAGGGAGGGCAGAGAGAGAGGGAGAGAGAGAGAAAATCTCAGGCTCCCCTCTGCTAGCGTAGAGCTCAGTGTGGGGCTTGAACTCAACTCTGACATCGTGACCTGAGCTGAAATCAAGAGTCAGACACTTAACCAAGTGAGCCACCCAAGCTCCCCAGTTTTTTGGAACTCTTGACTATTTGTTTAATGTAAACAGGAAACATTTTCAAGAAAAAAGTATTATACATGCAAATCAAAAGGTTAGGCTCTCCTCTGAATTATAACAAAATAGTGTTTCATTAAGTTTTCCTAATTCATTTTATACACACACACACAACACACATACACATCCCACACACAGAGGCTCTTGAGAATCTAATTCTCATTTTTTCCCCCATATTACTTTCAATTATCAATTGTTTTCACTTTCTCATATTATCAAAAGATAATAGCTAGAAATTAATTTATTAAAAAACTATAGGGCATTCTCTAAGTTTTTTATTTCACTTAATTATCTATTTTTGTTAATTGACATTGTTTGACAAAACTGAAACATCATAATCTTACTGGCTGCTACTAATATAGAGTGGATTCTGTGTTGTGTTATGGGAAATTTGTTTTATGTACCATTCAACTCTCTTTTGTAATACAGATATATAATGATTAACTTAAAATGAATGAACACCTGCAGTCATCTTTTTTTTGTAAGCTGGAAATGGCTCTTTGCTTTTTCGGTTAATAAACACTGAGAAACTACTGTGTATCAGATACAGTCCTAGGTGCTGGATATATAACACGGTTCTATTATAAAGTATGGTTTTTATCTTTGTAGGTGTGTGCAGGTTTTCAAATAACCAACACTACTTCCCTCAAAATAACCCATAAAACTTACCATCAAAAATTCACGGTGTCTTGCTAACTTTAATGTAATTCTGCATCATAAAAACCTACTAAATCTGTGTATCAGCTACTTTGGAAACCATCAGCAGTATTCTGATGTTTTCTCTTCATGACTTTTTTGTCCCCTGTACTTGAGTGGTTGCTTTAGACATGGCTGGTACAAATGAATAGGGTTTCCTTAATATCTCCGTATGAAGCTGAGGTCATCATTGAGAAACAAAATACCCAGGCCAGTGTCTAAACATGTTTAGTTGCAGGGTGTCATGTCACAAATGTTGATTTGAGTGAATTTTAATTGTTTTCATTTGTAGGTTTCTCTTCCCTATTATGTTTTAACTTAAAGGAAAGCACAACACCAATTTTCATTAAATGGAGACTTGGCACATCAGTAGTTATCCTGCCGTTCTCTGTACTTTAAGTAGTTAATGAATTTGTTCTTTTAAAAAAAGATTCTAGGGGTGCCTGAGTGGCACAGTCAGTTAAGCTTCCAACTTTGGCTTAGGTCATGATCTCATGGTTCGTGAGTTCAAGCCCCGCAGGCTCTCTGCTGTCAGTGCAGAAGCTGCTTTGGATCCTCTGTCGCCCTCTCCCTCCCCTGCCCCCCGCCTCCCCATCATGGAATCTAGCCCTGTTTAGGCCTGCTTAGGATTCTCTCTCTCCCTCCCTCTGCCCCTCCCCTGCTCACTTGCTTTGTCAAAATAAATAAATAAACTTAAAAAAAAAAAGGGGGACTCTAGAAAGGAACCTGTCATGCACAGTTTCCTTTCTTGTATCTCAGTATTGACTCTGTTTCAGTGTGTTCCAGTAAGAGGTGATATGCTAAGTTTATAACTCAACAATACTAAGACTTTTGTTTATACTTTAATAGGGAAAACTTTTAAAGGCTTTCTCATTAAAATAAGGAATGATCCACACAAATTAGAAACTAAATCTTCCAGTTAGAAAAAGAGTTTCTGATTAGGATACTTATCACAACCTGTCCTTTCCCAGCTCCCCCCCACCTCCCACCCCACCCCACCCCACCCCAGCTGCTAGTTTCTATACCCACTCATTTTTGAGATAATCTAATTGGGTAAACTATGAATCAGAAATAAGACAGACCTTTTGGGAGTTAATGGTGGTGGGCGTGGGATGGGGGGGGTTGCTGAGAAATTTTTTTGGTCAATTTCAATCATTAGTTTGAATTGTGAACTTGCCTATTGTTGATTTCCCCCCTTGAGCTTCTGCTCATTTTGTCTCTTTTTCTTCAAAACAGGCCTGGAATGTTCTGGCTCTGGATGGCAGTAACTGGCAGCGAATTGACCTGTTTGATTTCCAGAGGGATATTGAGGTATAATTATGTGGTGTGTGGCCCCATTTCTCATGTTAGAATGTAATTACAGCATGGAACAGATTAGCCCCAACCATATAAATCTCCTTTCCCTGGAGAGAGAAACTATTAATTTCAGTGCATCTGAACTTCATGGGAACTTGCAATGTTCCCAACAGCTTGCTCAGTTTTTGAAAATAAGCGGAACTGTTTTACTTATAGAATACTAAGTTATTTAGTATTAATAGGACTACAATTTTTTGCTTTTATTTTTGTGGTGGAAATGTGAACACATTTGCTCATTGTAAGGAAGTCTTTTTATATTTTCTTATTGAAGAATGAGTAGACTTAACAGTTTGTTGGGGGATGATGTTTGCATAAATTCTTCTTGAGATGAGCATTTTGGTTTTTTGGGAGCCTACAGACAGTTTTTGTGGAGAACAAAAAAAGAATAAAGCCAAATCATTTAATGAATTATTTTTGCTAGGAAGAGATTTTTCTTTTCCCCATCTCACTTTTCCCCTGTATTTCATCTTAGTATAGCCTATTATCTCTAAACTGGAGAAGGATAATGGCTTAAGCTTAAGATTATCTTAACATGAACCTGAGCTCTGTGGTCCTTGGTTTTCTTGTCAGGAGAAATAATAGCTTCCTCATTTGTTATAAGAATAAAATAAGATTTAGATTTAGATTAAAAAAATTTTTTTTTATAAGTTGCAGTGAAACTTGTGGATCCATATAAGAAGTTTTTAGGGGCACCTGAATGACTCAGTCAGTTAAGTGTCCGACTCTTGCTTTCAGCTCAGGTCATGATCTCACAGTTTGTATGATCGAGTCCCACAGCAGGCTCTGCAGGCTCTGTACTTTTCTCTCCCTCTTCCTCTGCCATTCAAGCGCGCTCGCGCTCTCTCTCTCTCTCTCTCTCTCTCTCTCTCAATAAATAAATAAATAAATAAATAAATAAGCAAGGAAGCACTTAAAAAAATAGAAAAAAGGGGTGCCTGGGTGGCTTAGTCAGTTAAGCATCTGACTTCAGCTTGGGTCATGATATCAAGGCTTATGAGTTCAAGCCCTGCGTCGGGCTCTGTATTGACAGCTCAGAGCCTGGAGCCTGCTTTGGATTCTGTGTCTCCCCCTCTCCCTCTGCCCTGCCCACTCTGTCTCTCAAAAATAAACATTTAAAAAAAAATAGAAAAAAAAAGTTTTTAAAAAGCCTCACATGAATTTACCGTTATACACAGAACATTCCATTTCTACAGAAAGTGCTTTTAAAATAATAGCCACTGACATTATGCAGGATTCTTACATTTTTCACAGTTGTCTACTCTTCATGGATATAAATGTTTAAAGCAACATGGCCCAGAGAATCATTCAGCAAGCTTTTGATAAGTGTCCATTGAGTCTCTGCTGTATTCAGAGTACTCTAGTAACACTTTGGAGAGGATTCAGAAATAATCAAGGAAGCTAATGTCCTTCAGTAGCTGCAGTTTGACCAGTAGAGCAGCCTACATTAACATAGTGGCATAAAACTACAGAACTACAGAGAACCATTTCCTCAACTAGAGAGTGCCTTACAAATTGAACAAAATAAACAAATAGGGTTTGAGCCTGTTTGGGGTAGATAAGTTAATCAGGAAAGCTTTCTCAAATAAGTTGACATTTCTTTATTGAATTAATTAAGTTTTTTTTTTTAATTTTTTTTTTCAACGTTTATTTATTTTTGGGACAGAGAGAGACAGAGCATGAACAGGGGAGGGGCAGAGAGAGAGGGAGACACAGAATCGGAAACAGGCTCCAGGCTCTGAGCCATCAGCCCAGAGCCCGACGCGGGGCTCGAACTCACGGACCGCGAGATCGCGACCTGGCTGAAGTCGGACGCCCAACCGACTGCGCCACCCAGGCGCCCCATTAATTAAGTTTTTAAATCAAGTAGAAGCCTTTGTTTATAGATTATTAAAAATGATGTGTTCTCTTCAAAAACAATGTGGTGGCTTATTTTTGTTTACCTGTTTTTTCTTTACAGGGCCGGGTAGTGGAGAATATTTCAAAACGATGTGGGGGCTTTTTACGAAAGTTAAGTCTTCGTGGGTGTCTTGGAGTAGGAGACAATGCATTAAGGTAAGAACATGATTATTGACTAACTGATCTTCTTGAATAAGTAAAGAACAGCACCATCTCACCCAGAAAAAGCTAAAATAATTTTGTGTATTCTTAAGCTATTCTGAAGCCAAACATACACATATTATTTATAGCACAAAAATATCCAGTACTGGGATGTATGGTTTTGAGAATAAAACAAGAACAAATACCTCCTGCCAAAAGCCAGATTCCTCATATCATAAATGGTTCTTTTGGAGTCTTGAGTAAAAATTGTTCTTAATTTGTTAACTCAAAGGTAGGGTAATTGTAACCTTGGTCAACAAAAAGATCAATGTTTAAAAGTTTGTGGTTACCCGAAAAACAAATAATCCAGTGAAGAAATGAGCAGAAAACATGAATAGACACTTCTCTAAAGAAGACATCCAGGGGCGCCTGGGTGGCGCAGTCGGTTAAGCGTCCGACTAAAGCCAGGTCACGATCTCGCGGTCCGTGAGTTCGAGCCCCGCGTCGGGCTCTGGGCTGATGGCTCAGAGCCTGGACCCTGTTTCCGATTCTGTGTCTCCCTCTCTCTCTGCCCCTCCCCCATTCATGCCCTGTCTCTCTCTGTCCCAAAAATAAATAAACGTTGAAAAAAAAAAAAAAAGACATCCAGATGGCCAACAGGCACATGAAAAGATGCTCAGCGTCGCTCCTCATCAGGGAAATACAAATCAAAACCACACTCAGATATCACCTCACGCCAGTCAGAGTGGCTAAAATGAACAAATCAGGAGACTATAGATGCTGGAGAGGATGTGGAGAAATGGGAAGCCTCCTGCACTGTTGGTGGGAATGCAAACTGGTGCAGCCACTCTGGAAAACAGTGTGGAGGTTTCTCAAAAAATTAAAAATAGAGCTACCCTATGACCCAGCAATAGCACTGCTAGGAATTTACCCAAGGGATACAGGAGTGCTGATGCATAGGGGCACTTGTACCCCAGTGTTTATAGCAGCACTCTCAACAATAGCCAAATTGTGGAAAGAGCCTAAATGTCCATCAACTGACAAATGGATAAAGAATTTGTGGTTTATGTACACAATGGAATACTACGTGGCATGAGAAAGAATGAAATATGGCCTTTTGTAGCAACATGGATGGAACTGGAGAGTGTTAAGCTAAGTGAAATAAGTCATACAGAGAAAGACAGATACCATGTGTTTTCACTCTTATGTGGAGCCTGAGAAACTTAACAGAAGTCCATGGGGGAGGGGAAGAAAAAAAAAAGAGGTTAGAGTGGGAGAGAGCCAAAGCATAAGAGACTCTTAAAAACTGAGAACAAACTGAGGGTTGATGGGGGGTGAGAGGGAGGGGAGGGTGGGTGATGGGTATTGAGGAGGGCACCTTTTGGGATGAGCACTGGGTGTTGTATGGAAACCAATTTGACAATAAATTTCATGTTAAAAAAAATAAAAATAAAAGTTTGTGGTTGAAAATGAATTTATTTTCATAATTGTGAGTTACTTTTGTATCAACATCCAATATTACCAATAATATCTTTTATTATTTTTTGTAATGCTTAAAATTGTGGCTATTTTGTTTCAAACCTTTAACTTTCTTCCCTGTAAAGGACCTTTGCACAAAATTGTAGGAACATTGAAGTACTGAATCTAAATGGGTGTACGAAGACTACAGATGCGTAAGTATTTTATGTGTTAGAGGGGTGAATCATAGCCCCTTGTTTCCTGCCTATGCTAGCTTTAAATGTGGTCTATTAAATATATTTAGCAAATTTCATTTTGACCTTACAGAGGAAAGATATTTTGAAAGGAGAAAACATTAAAATAGAAATGGCATAAGAAACTAGTTTTGGAATCTGACCCAAATCCTATCTTGATATTTAAAGTGAAACTTAAAAATTGGAGTCCGTGTGTATGCAGTAGGGATACTAATACTAGAAATTACTAGGACTACTTATGTTTCAAGAAGATACTGGTAGCTTTCATTCAAAAGGCAGAGTAAACCAATAATTCTGTAAAAAGATAGAAAATCTTAAATACATATGAAACAACTTGTGATCATCGATACTGAGAGCACACCCTTTAAATGTGCTATGTCTGTGTCAGGTACAGTATAAATGGAATAAAACAGTTGTTCATCCTTGAGAGCTTACTGTCACAGACCTAATAGATGTGGAAGGTAGACATAAAAAACATTCAGCCCCTGCCCTGCCCTGCCCTGCCCAATTCAGTCCCAGGTTATCTATTGGTGATGATATGTATCAAATAACATTTAAATATTATGTAGGGAAATTGTTGCCTGTTATGAGATGAAGTGAAGCCATTGAGGAAACATGTTTATACAGGGAGGGGGGCCAGGATTATTTAGTGAATGTTCCTATTCGGAAAGGCCTCATGAAAGAGATGGGATCTTTAGAATTGAGACAGAGGGTACAGATTGTTTATTTCAGTACTTTCTTTGAGGTCACAACATTATTAACTTTCACTAAAAAAAAAATGTCTGAAAGACAAAAATTATGGTTATTCTACTGTGGTTATTCTAACAAGTATTATTTCTGTGGATTGATTTGACCTTTAACATGAGTAACATATCTAACTCCTCCCCCAACCATGACTTTATACCAGTAGCCCTCCATTTACTTTAGATAAATTACCTGTTTATTTTTTTCTTTTGAATACTTAATATTACAGAGATTAAAATTTTGGCTACTTTGGTAAAAATAAAAGTGACATATAATTTACACTAAGAATAATTTTCTAAGAATCTATTCTATATACCAAAGATAAACTGACAAAAATGTAGTACAATTTATGTGCAAAGCTATTCATTTTTACTGTTTGTAATAACAAATACTACATTATTTTCAATAGCAAAATATGGGAAAGAACCCAAATATCAATCAGTAGAGGACTGTTAAATCAAAGGAATGAGGAGAGTATATAGTATTCTGGAATGATCTCTAGGACATACTGTTTAAATTAAGGAAGCAAACTGCAGAGGAGTTTGTATAAGATACTTTTTGCAGAGCCAGTAAATACCCATGTTCACTTATATTTTCAAAAAGAAACAATTTAAAGATTATAGGGGCGCCTGGGTGGCGCAGTCGGTTAAGCGTCCGACTTCAGCCAGGTCACAATCTTGCGGTCCGTGAGTTCGAGCCCCGCGTCAGGCTCTGGGCTGATGGCTCAGAGCCTGGAGCCTGTTTCCGATTCTGTGTCTCCCTCTCTCTCTGCCCCTCCCCCGTTCATGCTCTGTCTCTCTCTGTCCCCAAAATAAATAAACGTTGAAAAAAAAAATTAAAAAAAAAAAAGATTATAAAAATGAGTAAAAATGGTGACCTGTGGGTAAGAGAATAAACACAGAGACAGGGATGAAAGGAAGACTCTGAAGTATCAGGTTTTGTAGTTTTCCTTTAATAGCTATGTAAATGTTTTACATACATAATTAAAATATGAATTAAGTCAAAAAGAAATCAAAGCAGTCCCTAAAAATTCAAACCAAAATAAAACACATGAACCCAATCATATCAAGTTGGAGCTATAACCACAGAGAGAAATTACTTCTACTGACTTTTGATTTCTTTTTTTTAAGGTTTTTTTTTTTTTTTACACTTGATTTTAGCCTAAAGGCCAAGAAGCAGTAAGTTTTTTGGTTTTTTTTTTTTAATGTTTATTTATTTTTGAGAGAGTGCACAAGCTGGGAGGGGCAGAGAAAGAGGGAGACATATGGTCTGTGTGTCGACAGTGGCACTTGAACTCACAAACCGTGAGATGACCTGAGCTGAAGTTGGATGCTTAACTGATTAAGCCACCCAGGCGCCCCTCTTTTTTTTTTTTTTTTAAGTTTTATTTATTTATTTTGAGAGAGAGACAAAGAGAGCACAGTGGAGAGGGGCAGAGAGAGAGAATCCCAAGCAGGCTCTACACTCCATGCAGAGCCCAATGCGGGGCTCAAACCCACAAAGTGAACTGTACAATCATGACCTGAGCCAAAATCAAGAGTCAGATAAATGCTTAACCGATTGAGCCACTCCAGTGCCCTGATTTTTATTTCTTATGAAAAGTTTTTTTTTTTTTCAACATTTATTTATTTTTGGGACAGAGAGAGACAGAGCATGAACAGGGGAGGGGCAGAGAGAGAGGGAGACACAGAATCGGAAACAGGCTCCAGGCTCTGAGCCGTCAGCCCAGAGCCCGACGCGGGGCTCGAACTCCCGGACCGCAAGATCGTGACCTGGCTGAAGTCGGACGCTTAACCGACTGCGCCACCCAGGCGCCCCGAAAAGTTTTAAATATATACGAAAGTAGACAAAACAGTGTACTGAACACATCACCCACCTTCAAATTGATAATTGAGAAATTACCATTTGATGGTCAGTCTTGTTTCATCTATATCCCCAAATTTTTCTTACTTTGAAAAAAGTCCTAGACATCATATTATTTTAATCTGTAAGCATATATTTCTAAAAGATAAAAGCTTTTAACATAAGCATGTTAATTTTATCACTCCTATAAAAAAACTTAATATCTTAAAATCATCAAATAACCACTGGCCAGTTCAGATTTTTGCTGCTTCTAGTGACTTCAGAAACACAATATTTTAAGCATCATATATAAGAAAAAAGACACAAACTTTAAAAAGCAAAAATGGAGACTTCTGCTTCTGCCATGACAATAAATGCCCTCCTGCCATAAACAACTGTAAAACTGTACAAAACATATCAAAGAACCAGTTTCAGATGTTGGACAATATGCAGCACAGGACTGAGCAATTAGGTGAGCCCTACGACCACCCTGGCTTTCTGCCTGGTGGTGTTTTCCAGAACCCAAACAGAGAACAAGGTTCTGGCTGATTTGAAGAATAAGAGATCAGGGTTCAGGAAGACAAAAGTAGCTGGAATTTTTTTCTTAAGATGGGAGAACTACTCAAAAAGGCTACAGAAATCTACATTGGGGCGCCTGGGTGGCTCAGTCGGTTGAGCGTCCGACTTCGGCTCAGGTCACGATCTCACGGTTCGTGAGTTCGAGCCCCGCGTCGGGCTCTGGGCTGATGGCTCAGAGCCTGGATCCTGCTTCCGATCCTGTGTCTCCCTCTCTCTCTGCCCTTCCCCCATTCATGCTCTGTCTCTCTCTGTCTCAAAAATAAATAAACATTAAAAAAAATTTTTTTAAATTAAAAAAAAGAAATCTACATTGATCTGGCTGAATAGTAAGCTATAAATGGACATATTGAGACCCCACAAAGCTGGGTAGAAAACATCTAAAAGGAAGGAACAATTACCAGGAAACTGTAAACTGAGAAATTGCCAGAGCTTAGGTAAGGCTGAGAGAAGTTCAAAATGAAGAATGTTCATTGAATACCTTGGGGTATTTAATAGAGACTTCAGAAAGGTCACACCTTTGTACTAAAGCTAGACTGGACCTGTCCCAGTAAAGGTTAAAAGAAAAAATTCAGGGTCAAATTGATCCATACCTAATTTAGCTGCCTGCCAAGTTAACATTCTTTTAAAGAAGACAACAAAGCATGGGGTGCCTGGGTAGCTCAGTGGTTAAGTGTCCAGCCCTTGATTTTGGCTCAGGTCATGATTTCATGGTTTTGAGATCAAGCCCTGCATTGGAATGCTCTCTCCCTCTCTCCCTCTGTCTCTCTCAAAATAAATAAACTTTAAAAATAAAGACAACAAAGCCTAGACACTCAGCATACAGAATTTCCAGCATTCAATGAAAATTACAAGACATGCAAAAAAGCATGAAATGATACCAGAAGAAAAACCAGTCAATAGTAACAGGTCCAGAAATGACAGAGCTTATAAAATTGACCAATAAAAAGGGTTTAAAAATAGCAAGTACAAACATGCTCAAGAATTTGTGCAAAAACTTAATATGGAGATTGAAGTAAAAGGATGAGAGAGGATATACTATTACAATCACTAATCACAGGAAACTTGGAATGGTTAGTAACATGAGATGATGTAAACTTCAGGAAAAGTGTAGATGGAAAAGATACTAGAAAGTAAATGACAAATCAAGTAGACCAAAAAACAGTAAAGCTCTAGAAGACTTGAGCAACACTGTCAATGAACTTGTCCTAATTGACACTTAAACAGAATGCTATACCAGAAAGCATCAGAGTAAGTGTTCTTTTTCAAGTGCACTTAGAATATTTAGTGAGACACACCAAATAATGGACCATAAAAATTTTTTCAGTGAATTTAGGATTGAAATCATAGTGAGTGTAGTGCCATGTCCTCAACAGAATTAAAGTAGAAATGAGTAACATTTCTTGAAATTTTGAAAGTTAAATATTATCCTTCAGAATAACATGGGTCCACAATTTCTTTATCCATTCATCAGTTGATGGACATTTAGGTTTATATACACAATGGAGTACTATGTGGCAATGAGAAAGAATGAAATATGGCCCTTTGTAGCAACGTGGTTGGAACTGGAGAGTGTTACGTTAAGTGAAATAAGCCATACAGAGAAAGACAGATACCATATGTTTCCACTCTTATGTGGATCCTGAGAAACTTAACAGAAGTCCATGGGGGAGGGGAAGAAAAAAAAAAAAAAAAAGAGGTTAGAGTGGGAGAGAGCCAAAGCATAAGAGACTCTTAAAAACTGAGAACAAACTGAGGGTTGATGGGGGGTGGGAGGGAGGGGAGGGTGGGTGATGGGTATTGAGGAGGGCACCTTTTGGGATGAGCACTGAGTGTTGTATGGAAACCAATTTGACAATAAATTTCATATATTGGAAAAAAAAAAGAGAACATGGGTCTAAGATTAGATTACAAAGAAAACTAGAAAATATGTTTTGCTGTGTGATAATGAAAACAATATTTGAAACTTGTGGGCTCTTCCAAAGGCAATACTTTAGAGAAAAATGTAGTTTCAAATGCTTATGTTAGAAAAGAAAGGTTTAAAATAGAGGATCTAGGGGTTCATCGCTGGCTCAGCTGATAGAGCATGTGACTCTTGACCTCGGGGTGGTGAGTTCAAGCCCCACATTGAGTACAGAGATTACTTTTTAAAAAATTAGATGAGATATCAACAAAATAGGAAACAAAAACAGTACTGAAACCAAAAGCTGGTTTCTTGGGGGGAAAAAAAACCCCAAATTGACAGACTCAGACGAAGAAAATAAAAGAGAAGACCTAGATTATCAAGGAGAGCACTAAATATTGTACCCAAAAGACAGATTAAGACAATCTGAATAGATCAGTAACAAGTAAGTTCAGTGAATAATTGAAAAGAATCCCATAAAGAAAAGCCCAGGCCCAGATGTCTTCACTGGTGAATTCCATCAAATATTTAAAGAAGAGGGGCACCTGGATGGCTCATTTGGTTAAGCATCTGATTCTTGATTTCGGCTTAGGTCATGGTCTCACAGTGGTGAGATCTAGCCCCACGTTGGGTTCCATGCTAATCGTGGAGACTGCTTGGGATTCTCTCTCCCTCTCTCCTTCTCTCCTTCTCCTTCCTCCACCCCCCAAAATAAATAAAAAAATAAACATTAAAAAATATTTACAGAAGAAATAATAGCAGTTTTCAAACTGATTCATAAAATGAAATAGGAAGTATTTCATAACTCATTTTATGAGGCCAGTATTTTTCTGATACCAAAGACATCACAATAAAAGGAAATCTACTAATTGTTCTTTCTCAGAAACAGAGCCACAAAAATACTTGACAGAATTTTAGCAAACTAAATCCAGCAACATAAGAAAGGATTTGGAATCATAACCAAGCGGGATTTACCCCAGAAATACAAGTGTGGCTTAATATCTGAAAATCAATTAAATATAATATCTCATAATAATTAGTAGAATAAAGTAGAGGTCAGTAGACTTTCTGAACAGGGCCAGATAAGGAAATATTTTTAGGGCTTCATTGGCCATACAGTCTCTGTCACAGCACCCAACCCTGCCAATATGTTTTACAAAGGCAGCCATAGAGTATACATAAACAATTAAGCATAGTGTGCTCCAATAAAGCTTTATTTCTGTACAATGAGATTTGAATTTCAGGTAAGTTTCACATGTCACAAGATCTTTGAAAAATTTTTTTCAACCCTTTGAAAACATCAAAACCATTCTTGACTTGTGAGCCATATAAAAACAGGCAGCTGGTGAGATTTACTGCCCCTTGGAATAAAGGACAGGAACTACATGATCACTCAGTGTGTGGTGGCCTCTAAAATGGCCCCCAAATAACCCCTGACTCCTAGTACTCACACCCTTATGTAATCTTTCCCCATGAACGTGGACTGGACCTAGTGACTCATTTCTAACAATAGAATACTGCAAAAGAGATTGGATGTCACTTTGGAGGTTAAGTACCAAAGAGTGTGATTCTGTCTTGCTCTGCTTTCTCTCAGGGCTGTGGCTCTGGAGGAAGCAGCCTGCCCTGTTGTGAGTAGCTCTGTGGAGAGGTCCATGTAGCAAGGAACTTAAGGTGTGGCCAGCAGCCAGCAAGGACCTGAAACCTATCAAAAACCAAATGAGTGAGCTTGGAATTGGATCTGCTGAGGTCTGCCAACAGCCACCTAAAATAAGCTTGGAACGGAATTTGCACCCAGTTAACCTTTGAGATGAATGCAACTGTGACCAAGACCTTAATTGCAGCCTGTGAGACATCCTGAGTCAGAGGCACCCTGCTAAAGCTGCCTGTGCCTGTATTCCTGACCCACAAAAACCATGCGATAATAAATGTTGTTTTAAGCTGCTCGGTTTGGGGAGTAATTTGTTAAGTAATAGTAGATAATTAATACATCATCGGATACAGAAAAAAAATACATGGCAAATCCAACACCTATTTGTGATAAAAAAAATTCTCAACAAACTAGAAATAGAAGGGAGTTTACTCAATCTGATCAAAACCATCTATGAAAAACCTGCTGCTAACATCATACTTAATGATGAAAGACTTTACCCTAAGGTCAAGACCAAGGTAAAGATGTTCCATGTCACCATTTCTGCCAACATTCTGTTGGAGGTTCTAGCCAATGCAGTAAGCTTGAAAGAAGAACAAGAAAGAAAGAAAAGAAAGAAAGAAAGAAAGAAAGAAAGAAAGAAAGGAAGGAAGGAAGGAAGGAAGGAAGGAAGGAAGGAAGGAAGGAAGGAAGGAAAGAAAACTGACAGGAAAGAAGTAGACCGTGTTTATTCACAGATAACATAATTCTAAAAGAAGTGCTTGAAAACAGCAAAACATTACTGAAAGAAATTAAACACCTGTATTAAAAGTATACAGAGAACTCTTACAATCAATAATAAGGCAATCCAGTTAAAGATTGGGCTAAACATTTGGGTAGATTTTCACCAAGGAAAGAGATGAATGGCTAATAAGCACAGGAAAGGGTGTTTGTTGCACAATTGCACAATAAAACCACAGTGGGATTACAATCCATACCCCCTAACATGACTATAATGAAAAAGAGAGTGCCAAGTATTGGCAAAGATGTGGAGAAACTGGGGCATTCATGCATTGCTGGTAGAAATGTAAAATAGTACAGCCACTTTGGAAAATAGTGTGGTGGTTTCTTAAAAAGTCAAACATAAGCATAGTGTAGGACCTAGCAATGCTAATCCTAGGCATCTACCCGGAAAAAATGGAAACACAGGTCCATACAAAGACCTAAGACACATATCTGCCAAATAGAATGTACAACTCTTATTTGGGTCCTAATTTGAACAGGTCACGTTGACGAAGGCATTTATAAGACAATTAGGGAAACTTGGACAGTCAGGTTATCAGATACTAAGGAATTAAAGTCATTATCCGTTAGAAAGATGCCCTGAAATATTTACAGGTGAAATAGTCTGGGATTTGCTTTAATTTTAAAATTTTTTTTAAACGTTTATTTATTTTTGAGACAGAGAGAGACAGCATGAACAGGGAAGGGTCAAAGAGAGAGGGAGACACAGAATCTGAAACAGGTTCCAGTCTCTGAGCTGTCAGCACAGAGCCCGATGCGGGGCTCGAACTCACAGACCGTGAGATCATGACCTGAGCCGAAGTCGGACTGCTTAACCGACTGAGCCACCCAGGCGCCCCTGGGATTTACTTTAAAATACTGAAACAAAAAGCAGAGGAAAATAGATGAAATAGAAATAGTAGAATGTTAATAAATGTCAAAGCTTAACGATGGTACAAGTGCATTCTGTATTCACTCTTGTGTATATTTGAAATTTTCCATAAGAAGTTAGAAAAATTAAACTGAGAACTTGAATACTGTGGAAAAAGAGCCTTTAAGAAATTCATAAAGGGGGGGGGAGAAATTCATAAAGGGGCACCTGGCTGGTCAGTCAGTAGAACATGTGACTCTTGATCTGAGGGTCATGAGGTCAAGCCCCACATTGAGGGAAGAGATTACTTTTTCAAAAAAACATAAAGGCAAGTAGGTAATAATATTACATAACTTAGCTTGTTTGAGCCCAATACTGGTCCTTTACATTTGCAAAAATCCAGCCATTTCATACTGCCATGTAAAAGGTTATCTTAAGCAGAGATTTAAGTGAAAGAGCAGAGACAGCTTTCAGTCTTCATGTTGCACCACTTGCTGGCAAGTACTAGCTAGCTTTCTGGTATTTCTGTATTTGCAAAATGCATATAGGTCTCTTATCAGCACAGAGTAGTTTGCTGTTAAACATTTCCAAATGAGAATCAAGCACCATGATCCCCTCATGCAAACGCTCATACACAGCACAGCCTTTCTTCTTTGCGAATGGCACCTGCCTCTTCCTCAGCATGAAAGATCCCAGGATTTACAGCTGCTTTTATTTGGGGTATGGAAATTTTATAGTTCTTATGTACAGACACATGTTTAATGAGAATCGTGCATGATTTACTAAAGATGCGTTCCTATTTATTCATTATTTTCTCCTTTTTCCATTTTTCAGTACATGTACTAGCCTTAGCAAGTTCTGTTCCAAACTCAGGCACCTTGACTTGGCTTCCTGTACATCAATAACAAACATGTCTCTTAAAGCTCTGAGGTAAATGTCTTCTACCAAGAATGTCCAATAATCAGAACAAATATACTTATTTTTTATTTCAAATAACTGAATTAAATTGGAATTGAAGGAAACTATGTTTTATGGATATGTACTATAGTTCAGAATAGATTTTTTGTTTTATCACTTGCCCAAATTACAGGACACATCCAGGTGAAATGACTAGAGGTAACTAGGATTTCTGAACAGACTGGCACAACTTCTACATGAATGATTTGATTTTTATGAGGGCTTGACCGCCGCCCCCCCCCCCAAATGCCACATATCATTATAGCTTAGTGGCTTAGTGATTAAAGCAGCACTCTGGAGCCAGGTGATTAACCAAGTACTTCAAACAAATACAACCCTCCTGAGTTGTTCCTTTCTATCTCATAGTGCTGTTAGGATTAAACAGTATTATTATTTGATAGTATTAGGCCAAATCGTGTAAAGTTGCCAGTATTTAACAACTTTTGTCTTATAAAAATGACGGCCTCATATAGTCCAACCAAATATATATAAAGCGCTTAGCAGAGTTTCTGGCATACAGTAAGCGCTTGATAAGTTTTGTTTTAATGTTAATGTATTTTTAAAGTACATTACAGAAAATGTACCTTAGAAGGAAGGTGAAATGCTCATTCTCTTTGTAACTACTTTTTTATCAGCCTTTTATAAATAATTATAGCCCCATGTATTGGTTATGTTCATGAATAGTAAAAATTAAGCTATTAAAAGAAATGTAGATTTAGTTGAGTGTAAGTAATCTAAAAATATGACTTCCTCTAGACTTTTCCTTATGAATATTGAATATATGCATTTAAAGCCATTTGCCATGTAGAATGATAAATAGGATAATATAACAACACTTAAAGTTTACAAAATATTTTCACATAAATGATTTCATTTATTTCAAAACCTTGTGGGGCAGATAGGACACACACTTCATAGTTAAGAAAGTCTTAAAACATTTTTTAATGCCAGGTACTGTGATTTAACCATAAGATGTAAGTAAATAAGGTATCGTTGCTGCCCTTAAGCTGCTCAGAGCCTAGTGGGAGAAAAAAATAAACAGTATGATAAGTTCTGTTATACAAGTGAGTGCATCCATTTGAGGAGAACATAGGAGGGGCTATGGCTGATCTTAGATTAAGAGGAGTTCAGGCCGGTTTCCTAAAGTGACTTGCCTGAAGTCACACTATTTAATGCTGAAGAATGAACTTGAACCAAGATCCTCTGCCTTCGTTTTATAAAACAATTAAAGCAGTATTTTCCTAAGAATGGCCTAGAACTTGAGATTCTTCCATAGTTCAAGTGAGAAATGAAAGACGAAACTAATATTTGATATAAGGCAGAGATCGAACACAATATATCCTAAATTCAGCCTGTGGAAGCAGTACTCCAGATACTTCACAGATAAGGAAAATTTATAGATCTTTTGTATTTTTTACATAAAAATGTAAATATCCTCATTATTACTTTGATAAGTAATAGAATTATTTGATAAAGAATCTGAATCTAAACTCTTCACTAATTACTCTGTTAACTTGAACAGGTCACTTAATTCCCATTTACTTTCCAGATCTTTTAAAGATGTGATAAGTGCAAAAAGAATATGTTTGGACAGGATGAACCTCCATAACGGTCTAACATATCTGAAAAACAATATTGTGCTTTGTGCTTACTAGTTTAGCTGGATTTAAGAGAGCCCCTGTAGTGATATAGTCCCACGTGAACACCACAAGTGTTGATAAATATGCTTTGTTGTTTTTGTTGTTGTTGTTGTTGTTGTTGTTGTTGTTGGTTGACTATATTCTAAATCTATGTTAAGTAAATATATTCTTAGGGGAGAACATGGGACTGTAGCCATTCCCTGACTAAATAGCCAATAAAATGAGACTTTGGTACCTTTGGAATTGGGTTTAGTCATATGTTTGTTTCATTTTGTTTTGTCCTAAGTGAGGGATGTCCACTGTTGGAGCAATTAAACATTTCCTGGTGTGACCAAGTAACCAAGGATGGCATCCAAGCACTAGTGAGAGGCTGTGGGGGTCTCAAGGCCTTATTCTTAAAAGGCTGCACACAGGTAATACTCCATGTAGTGCTTGTGAATGTTAGAAGAACCATGGACTTTGTAGGCAGTCCAAAGATATTGGCTTGAGGAACATGTAGTTGTATATTATTGGCCAAAGATACATACTTACCAAATACTAAAATGTTTTCCTTAGAGTAAAAAAACCTAAGACTTAACATCTGACCAAAGAAATTTATGAGGGGAGGCAAGATGAGGAGAAAAAATCACACCACGCATCCACCTCAGGCAAGAAGGGTCTCTTGCAACTTAATCTGAAAAGGAAACTTGCCATGTTGTCATTGTCTGAGACCTTAAACTGGAGAGGCAAGGAAGCCAGCTTAGTTAGCAATTTCGCTGGTTGTTTAACTACCAGGTTAAATGTGCCAAATATACAGAACCTACATTTTATAGCGTTGATGTTTACTTCCTGCCAGTCACATTACAAATCCCAACATATTTTGTCATTAAAAATTTTTGCTATCTTCATATTTTACTGTGGAAAAAAATAAGGAATTGACATGGCAGTGTCTGGAAGGAAATAATCAAAAGTGAGTTTAGAAGTGATTGACAAAGTAAGGCTAGGCTCTTAAGAAATTATTTTACTAATGCTTACTGAAACCATACCTTGGATGCCGTTAAAAGTGCCCTTACTCTTTGACCATGATGGGACGAGTTCCATTGTTTGAAACAGAGCGTTGAAAGTGAGACTGCCTTGAAACAACAGCTTGAGCTTCTGGTTATTTATGGAATCCTGGAAAATATTGATTGGAATGCACCATTATACATTATAATCAATTACTTGCCATCTGTTCTCAGCACTGTACACATGGCACTGATCTTCCAGCAGCAGATAAACCGGATTCCTTTCTCAGCTCCTGCTCCCAAAAAGTTTGTTTTTAAAAAACTTTATATAGGAAGCATAGAAGTGTGAAAATTATTTTAGCTTCATAATCCCTGAACAAAATGCTGTGAGGCATATTTAATTTATCAGAAGAAAAATCCATAAACATTAGGCAGTGTTTATTTTATCTTTTCCTTGATTTGGTGATCATATGAATTTGATGTGGTTGGAACTGATGAAAAATACTGATAACCATACTAATGATATGAAGTCCACCTTTCTGTGATCACAGGTCATTGTTTCTGATTCATTGTTCTTTGAAATTTGGTTGGCTGTATTTAGAATGTATTAATGAATGTATACATTCCTAAATCTTTATCCCTTGAAACAATGTTAGTAATCATATTTTCTCTTTTTAATCTTTCTAGCTAGAAGACGAAGCTCTCAAGTACATAGGTGCACACTGTCCTGAACTGGTGACTTTGAACTTGCAGACTTGTTTAGTAAGCAGTCCTTCCCACAATTCTTTTGTATTAGTAATTCATATCAGTAATATTGTAAGAGCTTTAGTCATCAAGACCAGTGGTTATTTATTCTACTTCAATCCTGGGGACGCTGTAAACACACAGATGATTCTTTGCATGTTTAACAATAGTCACTCCTGAGGGTTTTAACAGAGATAATGTAGAAGGTAGCTCTTGCAGACTTCCAAATAAGCTAACTGTAACTCCACCCCTTTTCTTTTTTTCTTTTCAAAGTGAATTATTCACAAACTTCAGTACTTAAAATATTTTTGGTAAATTAATTGCAGTCAGATCAATTAACATCTATCATTGGGTCATAACTGTTGGGAACCACTGATCCAAACAGATGACAAGCAAAATGTACTCTTTAAATTTTTAATTTCCAAGTAGTATTCGTAGTTCACATTTGGCTTGTTTAGACTATCAGCTTTTTTTGTGTCTATCCCCAAACCCCTGCATTTTGCTCAGAGAATTTGCTGAAACCACTCAGGTTCCTACAACATTGACAGTACATATTTAGCTTTTCTCTCTTGCCTGGAAAATTACATATATGTGTTGCCTTGGAATGAGAGCCTCTCGTTGCAATGAAAAAGAGTTGATGAGGGCTTTCCTTGTTTTTACTAAAACTTCTTCTCATTATACCCTTCTCTTGTTTGATTACCTGAAACTTGAGAGCATAGTGATTGTTTAGTTTAAAGGTGACACATAAAGGGCCATATTTTGTGCAAGTGAAGCAACCTCCCCTTTCAAGCCCTTAAGGGATGGTTCCGATAATGATCTGCTCAGGAGGCTCCTGAAGACTGAGTTAAAGGAATGACATTCCTTTTAATTCTGATCACCCCTTCCTTTTAATTCTGACTGTCATAGTTACTATAGAATTTGCCTAATTTCATTTATGAAACCAAAATATTTGGCCTGACAGGAAGAGCTTATACAACTGTTGTGAACATGAAACCATCACCTTACCGTGATAGGAAGAAACTGTTCTTAGGCATCTTCAGATTCTGTTTGTACACACAGATACACAGAGATACACTCCATAGATATTTGTGTGGATATATGTTACACACACATTCACACAACCATATAAATACATACCCTACCTACCATTTGCTGTTTTAGTTTCACTTCCTTTATCCTTTCAGCAGACAGAAAGTGCAGGTGGTAAGCGTAAAGAACCAGTTCTGTCATCAGTTTATTTTACTCTTCCCCTTCACCCAGGTCTTAGGGCATAAGTCATCCCTTCCGTAGAATGTGATGAAATGATTCTCATTCCTAAGACTTCATGTGTCTGCCCAAAACTGTTGAAGTGACCAAAGTACATTCTTGAGCCATTCTCTTTTTCTGGACTAATTTGAAAACATAAAAGTTTAGTAAATTCTATTCTTTCTAAAATTTGAAGTATTGGTACATACGACTTTCCTCAACTTTCTTCCTCAGTAATCCCTTATAGATTTTAAAACATTAAGAAGGAAAAGGCAGCACAGCCCTATAAAACTTTCCTAATATTATATGACACAAGTTCTCATTGGCCTGGTAAATATGCATGTTTATCGATTGCTGTTTCCCCTTTACATTTCAATTATCCTTGTTTAGTAATAACATACATCACACTTGTATGAAAGTTACTTCCACATGTGTTGATCTTCATTAATTTATCCTCAAGATAAATCTTATATCTGCCTTAGCATCCATTTTTTATCTGTATCTTGTTTCAATTATGCAATATTGAGAATATACTGATTTAAGCAGTGAATATTTAAAGCTTGATTTTTTTTTTTCAGTTGTCCTGGCAACCTAAGGACACTGACTGAACAGAGATGACAGGAGAGCTTTATTCTGAGGCTTATACAAAATTTGTGAAACTAACAGGACAAATTGAAGTGCTAATCATATCCTACATGTTAAGATGTTTATATATGGCATCTTTTTTTTTTTTTTTAGTGTAACATCTTGCTGTGTCCTTTTTATTTTAGAATAATTTAAAACACACAAAATTACATTTGGTTGATCACAGCTGTTTATCTCCATAAATGAATATATTCTTTATGTTATACAACTAAAATAAATACATAAATAAATGGATCTGTGGTTGATAAGAAGTTGCAACTGTCATCCATAGGTTGTTTTATTTTTTCAGTAACTTAATATCAGTGTCAATTTTGAACTTATAAATACATTTACACTGCTGTGCTTGCCTGTTTTCTAGGTTTTAAAGTCATGTAATTGAATCTACCCCACGATGTACCTCATGCTGTTCCCAATCCCGTTAGGTTACAAGAATCCCATTATAGCTTCCTCCTTTTACACCAAAAATGAGCACTGGGGCGCCTAGCTGGCTCAGTCAGTAGAGCATATAACTCTTGATCGCGGGGTCGTGAGTTCAAGCCCCACGTTGGGCATGGAGCCTACTTAAAATAAATTAAAATGAAAAAAATGAGCACAGATTCTCTCACAAACTAAATCAAAAGGAACTGAGAAGGAGAAACAAAGCATATTCATTTTCTTTTAGGTCTACTACCTAATTAATATTAAGCTCTATTTTATTTCTTTTTGGTGCTTATTTTCAGAGGTAACATTTTTTTCCTTTTCTTCTGCTAAATAACTAATATCTATGGGATTTTTTTGCTCTTATTTATTTATTTATTTATTTTTTTTAGCAAATCACAGATGAAGGTCTCATTACTATATGCAGAGGGTGCCATAAGTTACAGTCCCTCTGTGCCTCCGGCTGCTCCAACATCACAGATGCCATCCTGAATGCTCTAGGTCAGAACTGTCCACGGCTTAGGTAAACATTTCTTGTTTAGCTCAAAAAATCATGGGAAAGGAACAGAGGCCTTCTTCACCCAAATTTATTTCTTTGGAACTTTGAGATTTTTAAGGTAGACACTACAAGGGTACCCTTTTAGATGCCCAGCTACTTGCTTTGTACCTCATTCGATTACATGTAATTGGCCTAAACCAAAGGGTAATAGTCCCCATTTCCTACTTCTTGCTATCTAGACTAGAAAAAAAAAATAACATTTTATTTCATTACTTGTCTTATTAAACTTTCATATAATTCATTTCTAAAGAAAGTTTTTAAAGGCCTACCCCTGTGGTTATTTGTATTGTGGTAATGATGCCCGGTACATAGAAGAAAGTATTTTTTAAAAAAGCCCTACAGGAAAACTTCCTTTGTGCTCAAGATCTTTTAGAGCAAGCTTATTTCTCTATGGTTCCTCCTTTCTGCCAAAATATAGGATTGGCTGAATATTTACTAAGAATGCTGTTAGCATACACATGGTTTCAAACCCATATTGATTTTGTAAAAGCCCACAACACACTGTTTCATAATAAATAGGGATTATCCCCATATACCTGTTTTGTTTTTAAAACAAAACTTTTATTTTACTTATATGTTAGACATGTTGACCATTGTTGTAAGGGATTTACAAATATTAATTCGTTTAATCCACAGAATACCATATTAGTACTGTTACTGTCTCCATAATATAGATGAGAAAACTGAAGCCCGGAGAGGTCAGATAACCTGTTCAAGGTCTCACAGCTAGTGAGTTTAAGAGCAAGATTCAAACCCAGGCAGCCTGGCTCCAGAACCCAGAAAACCTCTTGTCTTACATATAATAATCATTGTAAACCAATATAACTTCATTAAAACTTTTTGTAGTCACCTGGCCAGGAGCCTGATCATCATTATTGAAAGAAAATTTGCCTAGATTATCAAAATTCCTTGATAGATCATAGACTTGGTCAGAATTAATAATGTCAGAGGCCTGGAGCTAAGGAGGTAGCCAAACTTCTCCCTAAAAATCTTACACTTTACCTTTTTCTCATTTGAAGAGAGGACTGTTCAGCTCCTTATTACTTCATGGCTTATTTTATTGTTCAAATAGAAAAGCTCTCAAATATGATAATCAAAAGTTCAGTCAGATCATGTTTTCCCATTAGATATATATAGCATTCATTTCTTATTGATTTTTGATAATGATTTCTTATACTGTGGCTTTATTTGTTTCAACTTACGTAGTAAGTAATTTGTAAGCAGACATAAAAATATTCTTTGTTACGGTCACACAGACACCACCAAAGTTTTCACAGAAAGGAGCTACTTTTGATTCCCCAGTCCTGTGGTTGGCATTTAGATTGGTGTTTAGCAGTTCCTGAGTAGGAGAGTTGTCTGCCAGCTCAGTTTCCCCCTCCTCTGGGCCTCTCCGGGAGCCTGTGGGAGGAGGCAAGAAGCTTAAGGGTATTTTTTCATAAGTATGGAATTTCATACTTGGTACAGGCCTGTAATTAACCAGTCCCTTCATAGAATTTTTAAAAGCTATTTAAATCTGAGTGAACCTACATGTAAAATAGGGAAAGAATAATTTACTTGATCAACAGATTAATTGAAACAGAGTATTTATCTCCATTTCCTTTGTTTTCTAGGAGCAGGCTGCCCTCTGGGGGTAAGCAGTATGCCATCAAGAAGGCTTTTAAATGCATTTTTCATGCATTTTGGCATTAACTACAAGCTTCTATTATATTCTTCTGATTGCATCACCCTGAATTGTGGTATTTACAGGACCACTTTATGATGACTCCATGAAAATGAGTGGCAAGATCTGTATACAGACTTGCTTAGCTGTTAATGTCACTATAGTATGCAGTGCCTAGGGAATAGGAGGTTGTTTTCTTAAATTCTTGCTGTTTTTAATAAACCCAGTTTTCAGGGAACAAGGGCTTGACTTTCACTTTTTTTTTTTTTTTTTTTTTTATAACAGAATATTAGAAGTGGCAAGGTGTTCTCAATTAACAGACGTAGGCTTTACCACTCTGGCTAGGGTAAGTATTTTCTCCAGGTTCTGTAGGTTTGGTTTGGGATTTTTCTTTCAGAGGAGTGAACAATGAGGGAAAAGTAGAAAGGCAGCAGAATTGAGGGTGTGGGATGTGAGGGAACTTCTCTGTGGCTGGTGTTCCTGAGCATTCTCATGCTGCAGCTATAGGCCTGTGGAATACAAACTGCTCTGGAAATACAGACGTGCGTTGGAGGACATGATGCTCCTTCATGAGACTTGATTTGTCACATTTTCATTAGATGGTAAACTAAGCAGGGACTTTCTCATGCTTCATGAAAGAAATTCTTGGTTACTTGGTATGCGACTGGTGGGTGAGAGTGTTGTTGAAAGAGATGGATAAGCCCAATTTTAAATGGAGGTGGCTTAAGATTTTTTGTGTTCTCCACAATATGTTAATCCTTGGAATGGTTTATAAATCACTGTATGTATAATAATAGCATTTAAAATTATATTGTCTTTAACCAGTATAATGGAACATGGGGAAGGACCTTTGCTTTCAGGCAGATTGATGGAACATTAATTGGTCGGGGGCAACATATGGCATAACTAAATCGGGACATAAAGCTTACCTTTCAGTCTTCCAAAGAAAATAATTTTCATCAAATTATTTATGGTTAGAAGGCTCTGTACTAGCTTGGTATTAATGTTCAGGGAATTTATTCCCGTGGACTTGTAAGGTGTTAGATACTTTAAATGTAGAATAATTAAGAAATTTCACTGTGATCGAGGCCTTTTAAAATGTGTAATTAATGGAATAAGGCAGAAAGTGTCATTAGAATGACACCTCTGAGTTATAGGAGGTTGTTATAGGAATAACTCTGAAAGTTAAGATTTTGTCGGTGTATTTAATACTACTTCTGGCCTTAAATTTTCCCATGTTTTAAATGTTTGAGCTATAATGTTTGGTTTTGTATTTTATAGAATTGCCATGAGCTCGAAAAGATGGACCTGGAAGAGTGTGTTCAGGTAAGAATGTGGATTTTTACTCAGAAATGCAGTATGATAGAAACTTACATAATATGTGCACAGCAGAACTTTCAGTTCCTTACCCTAATGTCATGGAGTGCCTGCAGCATTGCTGACTCTCCATTTATTGTGGTGTCCTCTAGGCATACCAGGCAGAGGTACTGTGGTATATGTGGTAAAGAACTAGAAAAATACATGCCATCAATATAGTTACCAGTGGAAAGAAAGAAGACCCAAGTATTCAGGCCATAAAAATGTTAAAATGTTTCCTTAGACCTACAGGGTTGTAATTCTAGTAAATAATTAAAGCTCCCATCACATTGGCAATATAGCACTGCCTTTTTTTTTTTTTTTTTTTTTTTTTTTTAAAAGCTTAATGAGACCCTGGAGCCCTTACATCATTAGCCCTGGAAATCTGACTCGACCCATTGGGCAGACAGACTGACCAGATACTGCCTTACGAACAATTTCTTTTATTACCAGTTTTTAAAGCTTTGAGATTAATTGATTGGGGAGAAATTTTGAAGGGGCACTCCTACTCCTAAAAAGAAGATAAAGTAATAAAATTTTTTATAGTAAAAATAAAGGAAAGAGACTCCAGTAATTATGGAAGTCAGTTTTTTCTAAAATACTTGTTATCCAGACACTACTTAGCAGCTATTCTTACTAAACTAAAACTTGTTCACATCCATCTATCTTTTGCACTTGCCTGAGTGTCCCATGTGTCCTCCCCAGTGTTGCTCCTTCTGAGTGATGTGCACATGCCTGCCCTCCCCAACCTTTCACCCCCCACCATTTCTTAACCCCTGTGAAGCTCTGTGTGTTATCATCATCATCATCATTTCAGAGTTGGAGGGACATTTGAGAAGAAGCACTAATTTACTTTCCAGCCTTAGATAACTATAAAAGACTGTTCTTCCTTCAAGAGTTCTGCTTCTTGAATGTTCATAGCTAACCCAGAGTCCCGCAGCCCCTTTCTGCCACCTTTGGGAAAATACCTGACACCCAGTTTATCAATTCAGAGTTAATGGCATGACTTATAAAATATAAGCCAAATATATATTCTTAAAAATTTGAGGATATTCCCACATTAAATTTTTTTATGGAGCAGTGTCTTCTGATTCTTTTTTGTGGTTGTTCTAAGGAGGTAGAACAAAGTCCAATGGATAGAAACTACAAGGGGACAGATTTTCATTCATTTCAGAGACAAAGGATTTTCAATAGACTATTCTTTAAATAGTCAAAGATGAAAATTAGAGATGACTAGATGTGTTCAAACCTGCCTGGATAGATTCTCAAAGAACAGGTTCAGGTAGCTGATAGGATTTCAACCTTAGGTTCTGTTATTTGATGATTAATATCAGGATATCAGTCTAGGCGCGCCTGGCTGGCTCAGTCAGTAGAGCATGCGACTCTTAATCTCAGGGTCACAAGTTCAAGCCCCACATTAGGCATGGAGCCTACTTTAAAAAAGCGGGGGGTGGGGGGGCGGGTATCAGTCTAGAATACAAGTGTACTCAAGAATGAGGTACAGCCATGAGGCTTTTTTGGAATTATACCTATAATAAACTTCTGTGTTTCTTTCAGATAACAGATAGCACATTAATCCAACTTTCTATACACTGTCCTCGACTTCAAGTATTGGTGAGTTTGACTTTTCGAAAGTTTTGTGTTCATTGGATTCAATCAAAACCCAACTCTTACTTTACTCTTGGTGTCTGGCTACCATTGTGGGAAAGCATATTTCTCCAAATTGCCAACTTACAGAGGACCAAAGGATTATGTTATCAGTACTTAGAGATTGAAAAGTGACATGAAGAGTATGAAATCTGCCTCCCACATGAATTATACTTCAGCCTGAATGATGGCTAAATTTCAGAGATCCAGGGGACAAAATGGCCCCAAATTCAATTTGCTTCACTTGAGACTAATAGGTCCTATAAAACGGAACCAATCAAGGCTTTACTAGGGGTGTTCTGTGCTACTGTTTCCAGTAATACTGTGGGAAAGCATTCTGCTTGACTAGTTTGTGTCCAGGCTCATTTTTGTGTGTACTTAGTGCCATATTACTATCCAAAATTGGGATAAGGGGTTCTGAGTTTCACATGGAGGAACCAGGAATTTAAGGAAAACTGGTAAAGAGACTTATGTGAAAAGATGACCACACCTAACAGGTGTAAGAATCATCTTCAGTTAATTAGCTGCTTGGGCATTCCCCTGTATCAGATATTCAGTGTTTAGTCCAAATTCCAGAAAATTTTATTCAAGAAAAGCTTGAGGCCCCTTTGCCTCTGTAGAAAAGTGTTCATTTGTGTATGGGGGTGCGTATGTTATTTTGTTTATGAACTATTTCACAGTCGTTGCATGCACTCACACAGTGTATTTAGAATCACACATAGAAATGTCAGTCATTGATTGTGAAAAGCAGAACCCCAGCAGCTCTAGTTTGCTCTCATTTTACCACATGGATCTAGTGATGGCTCCATATACATCAAAATCCAACCCAGAAGGTTTCCTTCCCGACTGTGCACAGGCCAATGGCTAGAAAAACACCATGAGATGTTTCAGTGACCTTCCTTGCTCTATTTGGCTGCAGAGTCTGTCTCACTGTGAGCTGATCACAGACGATGGAATTCGTCACCTGGGGAATGGAGCCTGCGCCCATGACCAGCTGGAGGTGATTGAACTGGACAACTGCCCACTAATCACAGATGCTTCCCTGGAGCACTTGAAGAGTTGTCACAGCCTTGAGCGGATAGAACTCTATGACTGCCAGCAAATCACACGGGCTGGGATCAAGAGACTCAGGGTAAAGATGGCTGCACACTCTCCAGCTCTAGTGCTCTCCACACCCTTTCCTTCTTTTGTTTCTTTTTTTTTTTCCTCCTTTATTTCCTTTTCTGTTTTTGTTCTAGATTTAGATCTCTGTGATTTTTATATTTTCTTGGACATTTAGCAAAGAGGAAAAAATGGAGAGCAAATGCAAGGATAGATAGTTTTTACCTGTTGTTTTAGATGGAAATTTAGTAGGAAAATAGCCACTGAGGGATAAAAAAGTAGGTCTCCTCCCAGCATGGTTTCTCCAATAATGTCCAGGGCTCAATAACATACAGAGTCAAAAACATGTGCCACAGTCAGGAAAGAAAGGAATAACATAAAGAAAATATTTAGTTAGATGGGATTTAAGAATTCAATTTGTATTTTTCTTTCACATCAAACCCTTTTTCTGGTGTTCTTATTTTTTAAGACAACAAATGGATTTAAGAGGGTTTTTTTTTCACCTTTTCTTTTAGCCCCATCCTCCATAATAAAGAGACCCATGCATAGCCAAATGACTGGAAGACAAGTTGCTAACAAGGAGGTTATAAAAGGCTGGATGAATCTATATGTTAGATTATTCAGCTCGACAGACATCTATTGAAACATCTGTTTCACACCTGCTGTGGGAAGGGCACTGTGCTTAGTTAGGCCCTTACAGCCAATGTCTAAAAACATCCATGTTGGCCATATGGCATCTGAGTACATAAAGGAGACCAAACCTCATCTTGAGATCCAGTTGGCCTTAGTTCCTTCTCTCCCTTCAGACCTAGAGGACTGAGAGCATAACCGCAATGGGGAGGCCTTGGCAGCCATATTCCTTCTACACCACAAGGAGAGAGCCACAGACCAACCAGAGCCTCTTCAATGGCCTCCCTACAGTAGGGTTCCTAGACCTGCCTGGCTGTCCAAAATCTCTTCCATCTCTGAGTTCTCAAGACTTTTTTTGTCTATTCTTCAAATCATCATTTAGCATTTTTATACTTTAATTTAGCTATTTATGTCTAGACTGTTAAGTTCCTTAGGAGCAGGATCTCCATGTTGACCATCTTTGTATCCCTCTTATGTTAACTAGCACAGTATCTTGAACATGGTAGCAATTCAGAAACTATTTATATAGTAAAAACTGGAAGTGTTTTGTTAAAAGAGGATGGTGAGGTTTTATCAGAAGAAACATCCATCAACTTCTAATGACTTAGAAAAAATTATTTATTGGGGCGCCTGGGTGGCGCAGTCGGTTAAGCGTCCGACTTCAGCCAGGTCACGATCTCGCGGTCCATGAGTTCGAGCCCCACGTTGGGCTCTGGGCTGATGGCTCAGAGCCTGGTGCCTGTTTCCGATTTCTGTGTCTCCCTCTGTCTCTGCCCCTCCTCCGTTCATGCTCTGTCTCTCTCTGTCCCAAAAATAAATAAAAAAACGTTGAAAAAAATTAAAAAAAAAAAAAAAGAAAAAATTATTTAAAAAAAATTTTTTAATGTTTATTTTTGAGAGACAGAGATGGAGTATGAGTAAGGGAGGGGCAGAGAGAGAGAGGGAGACACAGAATCAGAAGCAGGCGCCAGGCTCTGAACTGTCAGCACATAGCCTGACATGGGGCTAGAACTCACAAACCACAAGATCATGACCTGAGCCGAAGTCTGACGCTTAACCGACTAAGCCACCCAGGCGCCCCAGGAAAAATTATTTTAAGCTTATATAGTTGCTTTCAACTTTGGGAATCCAAGCAGGAATCCCTTTGGGACAGGTTAAGAGATTAGTATGAAGTTTTTCCCCAGTTTTACTATTATGGAAACGGGTACCAAGGTTATGTGAGCTGTTTAGTCATTTAGAATAACATGGGATACTACAAAGCGGAACCCAGGCCTCTCAACATCCTGACCAACTGGTACTTAGCCTCTGCCTTGCTTTCATGTTCACTCAGCCCCTCAACGTTTTTTCTGAAAAGCAACATTGCTCTTTCTGTTTAAGCCCTCTCTCTTAGTAATGTTTCTGTCTTGTTTCAGACCCATTTGCCCAATATTAAAGTCCACGCCTACTTCGCACCTGTCACTCCACCCCCGTCAGTAGGGGGCAGCAGACAGCGATTCTGCAGATGCTGCATCATCCTATGACAATGGAGGTGGTCAACCTTGGTGAACTGAGTATTTAATGACACTTCTAGAGTTACAATGGAGTCTCCAGTGGAAGCAACCCCAGTGTTCTGGGCAAGGGTTACAAAGTGAGGGCAGCGTCCAGATCCCCGAGGCACACATAACATGCACACCCATCCTCACCCCCACCTTCTAGTTCTGTGACCAGGGGACTGAAGCCCATGCCGGCTTTATCAAGTGGATTGGTGAAACTTAACCATTCCTGTTGGACATGCCAAGAAGAAAATCATAGGCAAGGTAGAGGGAAGGGGGCATTCCAGCAAACCCAGTGTTATTGATATTGCAGTTTCTTCATTTTGTTAAGGGGTTTCTTTGGTGATTTTGGAACAGCAACTGCAGTCCTCCAGGGTCAAGGAAAGCATAGAAAAACAGTATATGTTATATCCAGGGACCAGAAAGAAAATTTCTTTGCATCCTATAAATGATAGCCATCCATCATGAGATGACTACAGAGCTTCTCTGCTTCCTTGTTCCCATGCCAACATGCTGAGCATGCTCACAAAGAAGGCTCATCCATTCCTCCTCCTGTGTTTAAGTATTTGGCCCAGAGGTTTCCTAAATGGTTGCGCTGAAATCGCTGTGGTCCAAATGTGCTTACTCACTCAAATTGTCACTCTCGGTAGCACACTTGTGCACCTGTCTTTCGTTCTTTGTTGCTCCCTCCTGCACTCTTGCTCAGTCTGTCACCTGTTCATAGTCTGCTTACTCACACTCAATTGTTACTCCTTTGCTGTTGTGTTTACAGTGTGCATTTTGGATGATTAGTTGGGGTTACCAAACATTTTTAAAAAAGACATCAATAAATATTTTTTTAATTCTAAATTTTACCATTAGGGGACCCTGCCTGAATCTTTGCCAACCTGAAGAGAAACTATAACAAAAATAAGAAATGTTATGAGAAGAAATTGAGCTAAAACTATTTTGACGAAAACAAACTTTGCCTTTTGGTTTCTGTTATACCTTGTGATATATAATAATACGCATGATATACCCAATATCCCCCTGCACATTTTTCCTTCCATCAAACTCCACTAACTTAATAAGGAGAGAGAAATGCATTATTAGTAAAGAATGGAATGGTGAATCCCAAAATTGAGCCTGAAGGCCCCCCTACCCACACTCAGACATGTCATATGTTCACTGAAATCGAGGTGTGAGTGGTATCATCCCTGATTTGTGTCTGTGAAGTTGTTTGCTTTAGTACGAATGCTGCTACAGTTGCTCTGCAGTCTAGCTGGTCAGTTTCTCTCCCCACCCCACCCCCCCATTTCAGCCTATCAGGGACACAAGAATGACCCTAGAATAGCTCGTCAACTATATGTCAGTGTTGGTGGTATATTTCAAATGTTGGCGCCAGAACCACTTCAAAACCTGTCAACCATATCTCTCTTGTGCTCCAGACTTCCTGTCAATGAAATAGGGGAGTAACCAGGTGAAGGCTTTGGGGCAGGAGAAAGAAAACATTGAGAGGAAGTAGGGGGTTTTGCCCAGCATAGTCACTAGAGCCAAAGGCAGGTATTCAGTGCCCATGACTCAAAGAAGAGGCTTCCTTTCTTCTTCCTTCCTCCCCCCCAAAAAATCATAAAGGATGAGGGAAATAAGATGAGTTTCTCAAGTATGAGAAGTAGATTTCTAAACCCCAAGGTTGAACATCTTGTGTGATTTTTTAATAGGACTTTTTTTGGGGTGGGGGGGGTCTTTTAGGACATTATCGCGCAGTCTGCCATGATCTTAGATCATCTTCTGCATGACCTAGACTGTTATAAGTCTTGTTGTAATGCTGCAGGTGCTGGCTCTACCAGCATATGTAAGAATAAAGTAGAACTTCTTTCTCCAAAAGCAATCAGATGAAAGGGTCCTAGAAATCTGTATGATTCACCATTATCTTGCATGTTAAATTTATTTTATTTAAAAATTTTTTTAATGTCTATTTATTTATTTTGGGAGAGGCAGAGAGAGAATCCCAAGCAGGTTCCGTGCTGTCAGCACAGAGCCCAACCCTGGGCTCAGTCTCATGAATCATGAGATCATGTCCTGAGCCAAAATCAAGAGTCGGACGCTTAACCAACTGAGCCATCCAGACACTCCTGCATGTTAAATTTATTTAAATCCTACTTTGTTATGCCCTTTTAAAGGCTCAGATTTCTTCATTTCCCCTTCCCTTTATCTTCTTTTCAAATTATCATATGAGGAATATACTTGAAAATTTTTTTTATTTGAGCGTAGTCAACATAGGAATATACTTTTTAAAATGAGACTCATTGTTATACTCCATCCATACAGATACATATGCATGCACACTTCCAGATATGGTTAATAATATTCAGATCCCCAGGTCACTCATTCAAAACAAAAGTAAAAAGAAAAATATTTAGAGGCCATCTGCTCTAACATATTATGGTTTGTTTGTTTTTTTTGTATTACCTGAACAAATTGACCGTAAAACACTGATTGATTAGTGAGTATGGATTTAAAGTGCCCGCTAGTTGAGACTATTAATACCTCTTTACTTAAAAAGTACATAAGTTTAAAACACCCTATTCACCAAAACATGAACAGCTTGGAAATGCCGTTTCCCAACCCAAAAAGTGTACCCACGTGCAAGTCCCTGGGGACTTGCATGGGTGATCCCTACCCGTCTGGGCCAAGAACAATCAAGTGAGAGGAAAAAGGAGTGTGCAGCACTGGCTTGTATGTGGTCAGGCCTTGTTCCTTTCCAAGAAAACTTCAAGCCCATCAAGGTTGGGAGGAAATATATTTTTTATGCCAGTCTGCAACCTATAACCAGCTGATGGAATGTACCAGGACTTTGAGAATCCAGAACATGGTAAGTTTTGGATAAGTGGAAACGGTTCTGCCATCTGAACATAGTGCTTCCTGTCTCAATATCAGGGACACTTTTGAAAATTTAGTAAGGCTTCAGAGGTCTAGGAAAACCTCTCCCTAGGAACAGCTTATTGGTCCATTTATCTGACTCCCAAGTCCCTGAACTTTATGCCTTCTATGATGAAAAAAAATTCAGAGTGAATGGAGAGATTTGGGATAAGTCAGAAGGTACCCTCAAAGCTATTGCATAAACCTGCAGGTAGCCAGGAGGAATTAATCATTGTCTGTGTGGAGAACATTATTAACATTATTAAACACCCAGCTCATCTCTTTTTAAAGCAGCCTTTCCCCCCTTTTTCCAGCATTATTTGCTACATCAATATCTTTTATAGCCTCTACATTGGCTCCATCAAGAAGGGACTTCCTGTCTGCCTGATTCCAGCCTTTTTTTTTTTTTTTTTTTTTTTTTTTGCTTTGACTTCTCCCATTTTCTTCTGATACCCATCCTTCTATTTAAAGCCTCCATCTCATTCCCAACAATGCTGCTGATTTATCCTCAGTTGTCTCCAGTCTAGCTTCCTCTTTGGGTCCTTGTCCTGATCTAGGCAAAGTCTCCTGGGCAGCCTTGAATTCAGTAACTGTCGTGTGCCTCAGGCCATTTTTCACTGGGTTGTCTCGGACATTTGCTCACCAAATTTGAAATCAAACTGTTGGATATGAGGAATTAAGGAGATCTGGCTTCATCTTTTTTCCCCCTAATATTTGGAATATGAAAGCACATTGTGCTCTTTGTAAAAAATGTTGTCTCTTCCTGGTCTGCTCTTTAGTGGATGTAAAAGTATTTCTTAAATGGTCTTTGTAAATTTCCACATTCATTACGTTGATTTAGCAGACCTATGAGTCAGAAATTTTACATATTCCTTATATCACATATTTTAGAGGGAAACCTGGCAAATATTTTTATGATGCTTTATTTGGGGCTCTCCAAACCATTTGAACTGTTCAATACAGCTATAATACTACAGCAGTCAAGTTCTTTTATTTCTCCTAATTGTCTTGTAAAATACATTGTTACCAGTTTGATAGCCCACTAATGCCCTGGTGGGGTGGGGGTGGGGGGCACTAAACAAGGTGTGCAGTGGAACTTGTCCAGGTCTGAAATTGTAGGGAAGTGTGAGAGTAGCATTGGAAGGAAGAGGGAACTTCCTGCCTGCCTGTGTGGGCAGCATATCCTTGGGTGACTGTGGTTTTGGAGAAGAGGAACACTTGTGGATCATGGTTGACCCTTGGCCATTTAATGTTTATTGTGCTGAAAGTTTCAAACTGCATATGACAGTTGCTATCAGTGAGAGAGGAGGGGCTTAAAGGAAATGGGTCTGTTCTGCCTTTCCCTCCTTGTGTGCATGGTTTAAGATTAGGTTTCTAGCCCCATTGCGCATCCTGGCTGACGGATTCTTTCAGTGGTATGCTTTGAGCTTATGGAACAGTTTTTTAAGAGATTGCCTTCCTATCTGCCCACCAGTTCTAGGATCTTTAATCACCTCAAACCCAGGCAGTGTGAGTTAGTGGAGTCTTGTTTGAGAAGAGGTGAAGGATATTTGGATGGAGGTCTGGAGGCAACCCTCCCCCTTACAATGATCTTGAACCAAAGATTCTCAAAGCAATAGGAGGATGAGGGGAAATATGGAATCTAAGCCTTTCCTCAGCTTTATTTCTATCCTAAATTTTAATTGTAATATTGGAAGATAGAGAAAACTATGTAAGACCATATCAGTAGGGTATAATTAACCCGGGTAATTTGGGAATAACATCTGGCTGTACCTGCTGTATTCAGGTGCCCTAACTTAACATCTGGTTCTCCAGCAAAGAACATGCCGCTCTAAGCTTGCCCTCTCACTTCATACAAACTCTCCCTGCCAGGAACTACCATTTGAGGCAAGTGAGTTTTCTGCATGAAGAGCTTCTGCAGCTCCCCTCACAAGGCAAGTCTACCTGTTTGTCCATTTTTATTCTTAGGATGTCAGCTCTCCATCTCTGAAGGCTTTGACCCTTCTTAGGAAAGTCAGTAAGAACCTCTCACCTGAGTCTGAGTAAATCTTTGGAGCCCAACAGAGTTACACTTAATTTTCAGCAGAAAAAAATTTGTTGGACAACCTCACATGTAGGTTATTAAGAGAAATTCTGTAATGTGTTTATTCCATCTCTGCCTTATGTTTTTTTGAATAAGCCCTTAGTGGAGTTTGGTTCAAAAGTGTTGTCTCTGTGCTTCCTCAGCCAAGATGTTTCACTGCCCTTTTAGGAAAAAGAACCATGAACAACCCAAACTATCAACTGACTATTTTCTATGTTTTTCAAAAAGTTTCTTGTTTTGAAGAACTGGGGAGGGAAAATGGTAGATAAGACTCATTCAGGTCTGGAACTGGGGCACTTTGCTTCAGGTACAAGCATCTATCCTGCCTCACACATGTGAGTAGATTTACTTTCCTCTCCATTCAATGAACTGCATGCCCTTCTTACTGGCAAGGAGGGCTTCTGTTTTCCACGCACCTAACCAGAGTCCTCCAGATGGGGATTGGCATCCCTGAAAGAACCTCCAGTGCTTCTGGGCATGGTTTTCACCGTGGTGAGAGTGGGTAGCCAGTAATTGAGAATCCCCACCCTAAGAAGAGATGGGAGAAGAAAGGTGTTCACCCGCATACCCCAGGAACGCAGGGAAATCTTTGAAGTTACGTGTATTTTATTAAAGTGGAAGAAGAAAACTTTGCCCCACAAAGTTTCACTTGTCACTGTTGCTTACTACTTACTTTTACTAATTCAAATCTGTATCGCACTGCTGCTCACACACGTGTTTCTTACCTTCGCCTAACCCTTCTCAGCCCCTGAAGTCACTGTTTTGTTTTTCTTTTTTCCCCTGGCACTAGCGAACGACAACCGAAAGTCTTAGAAAATCTTAACTTGAGAAGGAGTCTCTAACTGGCATGGTTTGATTAATTACTTTACCTGCCCCCACCCCCAAAGACGTGAATGACTTTCTTTCCTAGTGCTATATAATAGATCTGTAATAAGTGAAACCTTTGCTGCTACTTTTCTGGGTTTACATGTTTTTTCCTTCCCTTAAGAATAATTTCTTACCTGTGCTTCTCTGATGACTGTTAATTTCTAATAAGTGCAGGAAGAGGTGAGCCTGAGATTTCTTCTCTTACTCCCCTCCTCACCTTACCCCCAAACTACATGCTAACCTCTAACATGCACAAGATCTGTGGGGTGGGGCTCAGCAGAAGCTACTAGTGTGTTTTCTTACCATGCTGCAGCTCTCAGAGCTGGCCCCTGAGGATCTGTGACTGCCCAGGCTCAAGGGTTACTGGAGGGGGAGAAAGGCCTTCTGCATTTTGCCTTTCTCCAAGTTTTAAGACTAAACCTTCAGCTGCCTCCCACCCTGGCCACCTCCTTTTTCCTACCAGGAGTTGTTTCCAGGTAACCTGCCTCAGGCATTTCCCAGCTGCTCTCCTCACCCTTGCCCACCTCCCGGTGACCCTGAGAGCACAGACCTGTGCAGAGCTCAGAGAGCTGTGAGGACTATCCCTGCCTGTCAGACTCTGCCTGAGGACAGAGATGGGTGGGTAAATGGTGCTGCGGGAGAAATTTTTACCTTCAGAACAGGCTGTTCCATCCCTACACTATAACCCCCTCTGAAACCTTTCTCTGAGGGGACAAAAGGCAGAGGATGGTTGACTGGCAGGATCTGATCCCAAACATCGCTGTGGCCTAAGCCTTGGGCAGCCATTCGGCCTACCCTGGAGCGCTTCAGTGTGCAGGAGCTGCTGCTGGTTTCTCCACCGGGCCTGCCCCAGTGCGGCTGACACAGTTCCCTACTTGGTGACTTAACACCAGGTTCCATTAGCTGTCCAAGTGACTGTTTGCACCCAATACTTTTGGCGCTTGAGGATGGGGGGAGGGAGGGTTATTTAAAATAAAATCCGAGGTGGCAGTAAGGATTCCTTTTGCTTTAAAATCTTTGGACTAAAAGAAAAATGTTTTTTTATATATAAATATATAAAGTAAATTGTTATGTAACTATTATTGTTTCCTGTATGTTCTAATTTTGTTTTATGATGTAATTAAAGGAAATAAGCTGTGAAGACTTTTCATTTTGCTGCGGAAATAGCCTGTCTTGGAGCTACGATTCTTCTTGAACCCTAGAACTACAAAGGCTCCTGAGGCTGAATGATGGGGCATCTTTTTGGCATCCTTGTAGATATATTTTTTAATACTCTTTAATAGTCTTTAGTAATTAGTTAATAGCCTTAATACCTTTTTAATAGCCCTTATTTAATACCCTGAACTCCTTGTCTCTAAGAAAAACAGAAGATGTAATATAAATCAGTTTCTAAAAAACTTTGTTTTAACTCCTTTGACAGCAGTAATTCAACCTGAGGCCTCTATCTGTGCAGGGCATTGCCCTTCCCTTGACAAAGACAGAATGATGGTACAGTAGTACCATGGTTAAACAAACAAGCTCAAGTTATATTGCCTTTCACCCGAATGACCTCTGCCAGTTGACCTTTCTGTCTCAGTTCTTCATTCGTAAAGTGGGATAACAGCACCTACTTTATAGAGTGTGAAGATTAAAGAGATAATGACACACAGTAAATACTTGTTAACCTGCTTTTATTCCCTTCATGTCAACAAATACTTCAGTATCTAGTCAATGCTAGAGGCTCCTAGGTTGAGGGACAGATACACAAAGGTTAATACAGTGGGGGCGCCTGGGTGGCTCAGTCAGTTGGGTGTCCAATTTTGGCACCGGTCGTGATCTCACGGTTTGTGAGTTTAACTCTCTGCTGTCAGCATGGAGCCCCTTTGGATCCTCTGCCCGCCCCTTCTGTGTGCACCTCCCCCACTCACGCGCTCTCAAAAATAAATAAAATTTAAAAAACAAAAACAAATGTTATTGCAAAGGGGTCCCCTATCCTGGTAGAGTTAAGCAGTGGAGCCAAACCAGCAATCAGAATTTCAATCTCAAGGTATCTACCCTGCATGAAACACCTTTGGGGAGCTCTGTGGAATTCTAGGCCCCACGTGATCAGTGATAACTGAGGTAAATGATCAATAAGTAATTAAGCAGATATTTTTAAGAGGGCACCTTGGCCTGTCTTCCAGTCTTTGCATATGGGTTTTCTCTTTACAATGTTTTAGATTTTTTTTTTAATGCTTATTTATTTTTGAGAGAGAAAGAGCATGCGAGCAGGGGAGGGGCAGAGAGAGAGGGAGACACAGAATCCAAAGCGGGCTCCAAGCTGTCAGCTCAGAGGGAGACGCAGGGCTCGAGCACACTAACGGTGAGATCCTGACCTGAGCCAAAGTCAGCCACTTAACCAACTGAGCCACCCAAGTGCCCCACACAGTGTTTGAGATTTTTAATAATATTTTGAGGGAAGAGAATGAAAAAGAGAATAAGATACAGCCCATTATTACTTTAAGGTTTTATGTTCTTAAGTAATCTCTACAACCCATTGTGGGGCTTGAATTTACCACCCCAAGATCAAGAGTTGCACACACTACTGACTGAGCCAGCCAGGCGCCCCCCCCCCCCCCCCCCCCCCCCCCCCCCCCCCTATTTTTTTTTTTTTTTTTTAATTCCTTTCTTTTAAGTTCATTTATTTATTTCGAGAGAGAGCAAGAGCAAGGGAGGGGCAAAGACAGAGGATCCCAAGGAAGCTCCATGCTGTCAGCACAGAGCCCGACACAGGGCTCAAACCCATGATCCATGAGATCATGACCTGGGCCGAAATCAAGAGTCAGCTGCTTAACCAACTGAGCCACTTTTCTTAAAAGCACTTTTAAATAAAATTGGTTTTCTACATGGAAAAAGAGATACAAAAAAAAAAAAATAAGTTTCAGGTCAATTTTAATCCTAAAAGTGAAATGCAGAATTAAAATTTTAATTTTGAAAAATGTGCATAGGAAAGGGAGAGATTTCTTAAGACCTAAAAATTAAAAGATTAAGATTAAATCCAACTACATTTTTTAAAGAAAAATAAGGATAAAGCCCCACAGCCTCAATGTTAAATAATTATAGTATTTCCCAAATCTCTAAAACTTTTAAATCTCCAGACGTTTTTAAATAAGCATAGTGATGTGATAGTTGAATGAATGGTGTTTTGGAGGCTTTAGTGTTTAGTTTTTGGGCAAACCAGTTGGGAGAGGGAAAAAAAAGTCCAGACATTTATTTATTCCTCTGTCTCTGACTCCATACCTTACCCAACTCTATACTTTAGGAAGAGGACCAAAACACCAAGAAAATTGAACAAGCATTAAAGATACATACCTTTAAATTAACTTTTAATTTTAAGAAAAGGAAATGGTGAATACAATTTTAAATAAGCATGGATCGATGTACCTGTGTTCAGGCAGCTCTGCTTGGGGCAAAAGCACCTTATTGGCAAGTTATGTGCCTCACAGGCTTGGCCAGCTGAGCTGAGCTTGGGAGGCTGTGCCCAGGTTCCAACAACTGCTGCTGAGCAGGAAGAGATGTGAGCCTGGGTGCTGCTCACCTCCTGTCTAGGAGTAGTACACGATGCTTCACCTGGAGCCTGGTGAAGCAGCTGAGGATTTGAACGAGACCTCTGGTGAACACGGGGCTCCAGAGAACCAGGCTGGCATCAGTCTCCAACTCTTGCATTGGGATGTCCCTGGGCCTAGGTCAGCACCAGGTAGTAGCCATCTGGATTCTGCACTGAAAGCAGCGAAAAGGGCACCTCTGGAATGAGGCAAGCAAACCACCACTTCTCCAAAACCAAGTAGCCTGCAGTTATCTGTCACACCCAAGTGTTCTTCCTGCCCCAACTGGAATCTACCTCTTGAGCAAGCTTCCCTCCCTCTGTAGTGTAGGAGGGATAGAGGGCAGGCATCTGAATAACCAGAAGCCAGCTGGTCAGAGGTGCTCTGCACCGGGTGATGTCCGGCAAGCACCTTCTGCCTTATAAGATGGGGGGGGGGGGGCGGGCAGAAGAGGGAGGGGCCTTACCTTCCCCTTTAATAAATTCCCTGACATAGAAACTGGGACATTTTTTCCCTTGTGAAAATACATTTATCCACCAGTCCCGTTTTTTCCTGAGCAGTAAACAGCTGTCTTGTAGCTACATGAATCTGTCTCTTCGACACAAAGGTGGCATTCAGATGCTTACCAGTTGATTGGGACACAGCACACACCATACCCCATCCCCAGCTTACATTCACCTTCAAGGAATCTTTTTTTTTTTTTTTTTCAACGTTTATTTATTTTTGGGACAGAGAGAGACAGAGCATGAAGGCGGGAGGGGCAGAGAGAGAGGGAGACACAGAATCGGAAACAGGCTCCAGGCTCTGAACCATCAGCCCAGAGCCTGACGCGGAGCTCGAACTCCCGGACCGCGAGATCGTGACCTGGCTGAAGTCGGACGCTTAACCGACTGCGCCACCCAGGCGCCCCAAGGAAACTTTTAATCTAATTTAGGAAACAATATAAACACAATCTTACCCTTTCTAGAGCCTGACAGACACACTCTTCTCCCCCTAAAACTCCTACCTTTTTTCACCACAGCCACAAAGTATGATTCATCCTTAAGATTCTGAACCACCTACAAGGGAGAAGGGTCACTATGACAATTCTGTCCTTAGAGCCAAACAGAATAAGCCAGGGTAGGGACAGGGAAACTGGGCCTGAGGTGGAAGAGTGATCAAGGCCCTTGGGCCTGGCGGAAAACCACAAGCTACTTTACCTGGTCACCAAGGAGAATGAGGATGCCCCCAGGGCCCTGGTGGAAAAGGCGGTGGATCTGATTGGCTGGGAGGGCCAAGAGCTCAGCCAGTTTCCCCTTCAGCTCTACAACACTGAGTTCATCTAGAGAGATCTCTTGATAAAAGCCTGGGGGTGTGGGCAGCACAGGGCAGGCATCAGTTGGGGTCTGAGGTAGTGACAGTCTCATGGGGAGGGGGGCGGGGGCAGGAAGGCATAAAGAAGGAAAGAAAAAGGCTTATAAACCCGCTTATTTCTCAGCTTTGGGAAAGCCTCAGACTGAGGGGGGCCCTCACTACAAAAAGGAGGGGTGGCATCTGGGTGGCTTAGTCGGTTGAGCGTCTGACTTTGGCTCAGGTCATGATCTCATGGTTCGTGGGTTCCAGCTCCGAATCAGGCTCTGCTGACAGCTCAGCCTAGAGCCTGCTTCGGATTCTGTGTCTCCTATACCCCTACCCTGCTGGCACTCTCTGTGTGTGTCTCTCTAAGGGGGAGGGACACCTACATATGAATGAAACCCAAATACAATAACAAGGTTATAATCGAATCCCACATACTAACAATGACAAAATCAGATGGGGTTGGGGATTAGAACATGGAAAAATAAACCCAGGAGACATCGTGGAAGGAGAGGACTAATCTGGTCATGGAAGATGGGAATGCCAAGGAGGGCATCTTGGGTCCCAGGAATGATGAAGCATCACCCTCTCCCCAGGCCAGAAGAGGTTTCATGCAGCCACACCTGAATTTCTTGCCTTCTAGAGAGAGGCCAGAACTCACCTGAGTCAGGGTTCTTAGGAACCTCATTCTCTTGCCTAGAGGCCTCCTGAGCCACGTATAAAGTCAGCCGGTGACGGATGGGCCTGGGCCAAGAAAACAGTGTATGTATCAGCACTTCATACCTAAAGTAACAGCCCCCTCCCTGGGAGGGACCCCACCTCCTCTCAGGTCTCCAGGGAGGGAGATCACCAAGCATTTCTTAAGCATTTAGTGAATGCTGAACCCTGAGAGGAGAGAAGATGAGAAAAATCCATCTCTGTCCTCAGAAACTGAGTGATGCAAATGGGATGGCTACAGAAAAAGGAGATCCTAGGAGCCTAACTTTAGCCCATCCCTGCCAGTCTGGCTCTGTGACTGGTAGGTCACAGAGGTAGGTCACTGTCCTTGGGCCTGAGTTTCTTCCTCTGTAAAACGAGTGTGTGGGACTAAGTGGTCTTTAAGGTACCTTCCAGCTTGAACATTCCATGAGACACAACCACAAGCTGAACTTGGTAAATGCCACTACAGAGGGAAAGAGATCCTGGTTGGCAGTGCCCAGCACCTGGCTCTAAGAGTATTGAAAAGGCGGATCCCATCGGCAGCCCCACATATCTGGATAAGGTCCCGGCGGGTAAGCTTCAGCAGATCAGTGCCTGCAGAATCAGACAGGGCCAGATTTGGGGAAGAGTCCCAGGATCGAGGATGGCAAGGGACACAGTCCAACATTAGTCTACAAATAACCCTATTATGTCCAGACATGGGGGTCAAACTTGGATTCAAATCCCCGTTTTGCCACTTGCTTGTTAGCTGTGTGTCTTTGGGCAAGTTGTTTAACCTCTCCGAGCCCTCTCCTTATGGGTAGTATATAAATTATACGGGATAATACATGAGAAGAGAGCCTAGCAGGCATAGTGCCTGGCAACTCTTAGTCCCAACTAAAAGTTAGCTGAAGAACACACAGCAAGCCAGGACCATAGGCAGGCTTCCTGCCTGAGTGTTCTGCCCTCAGTCCCCCACAGGTACGGTCCCTACCAGATGCCAGCCTCACCAGTGAAGTTGGCCAGCATCCGGCAGTAGCTGGAGAACCGGTGCCGGTGCAACCACTGCTGTGTCTCTAGGATGGAGGCTCCAGGGCTCAGATCCTGAGGCATAAAGAGGGCAGTCCAGGTACCACCATGGACCCATGGACTTGAGAGCAAGGGGTAGGTGAACAGCCCTTGCCCTTGGGGGCCCCAAGTCTGAGAGCCTAGGCTCATCCTGTGAGTGGCAAGTGCCCAGTCCTATGGGGAAATTTTGCCATCTGTGGCCATACAACCTCTGTCCACCAGGGGGCAGAGCCACCCTATTCTGGAGAGTGCGATAAAGCCCTGAGAAGGGTTTGAGATAGAGGTTGGGGGACTGGAAAGTGAAGACGCACCTCAGCGGGGCTGCCCCCCAAGGTGTCCAAGGCGAACGGTGGGGAGGAGCAGAGCCTGTGGGGGAGCAGAGAGACAGCAGTGCAGCCGGTCTCCAGCCCCACCCACCCTTCCCTGGCGTGCAGAGCTTGCTGGTGTTACCCAAAGGGCACAGAGCTGAGCCTCTTCCCCTCAGCTGCGCCCTCAGTCCTGCCCCTCCCCGGATGCCCGGGCTGAGGAGCCCTTCTCTTCACGCTGGCCCCAAAGGGCTGAGAGGCGCCCATCCTGCCTCACCTCTCCGTGGACAGGAGCTTGCAGGCGTGGGGAGAGGTGAGGGCAAGAGGGCTGAGAGGCGGGTGGGGCCCTGCACTGGGATCTGGCCACGGTGAACACTGTGGGCAAACAAGCAGCAAGGTTCAGCCCAGACATTCCGAGGGCATTGGTGGCTGTTCCCTCACCTCTCGCCGATTGAGAGCTGACAAGGGGCCTGCCTGGGGCCAGACTTGGTCCCTGCTCTAGGAGTCCCTGACAAGTAGACCAAATTCCTCTCAAAGCAAGAGTGTAAACCAGCCTGCCGGTCTGGCTGGGGAAGCTGGGGGAGGCTTCCAGGAGCAGCAGCAGGAAAGGAAGTGCTCCGGGCAGAGGGGGGCAGAAGCGGGGTGGGGCGATGGTGGGTGCAGGAGAAGCAGCCTGGAAGAAGTTAAGCGCCTGGGTCTTGAACAACAGACGGTGCAGCGTGTCCTTGAAGGTAACAGGTGGAATCACTGGGGGATGTGATGATCCTGGAGCAGCCACAGCCCTCGGGCCTCAATTTCCCCATGTGTCCAATGAGGATCCTTCCTCTAAACCCGCGCTCCTGCCCCCACCACCAAGGCACACACCTCCAGGAAGACCGTAGTCTCACTGGCAGCCTGATACTTGTCTCTCTCGTGAAGGGGCTGTTTCTCAATCTTCTCCCGGTCTGTTTTCAGCTTCCGGTCAGCTCCTTTGGGCTACAGGAGAGTGACAAGGGAAGCGCAGAGCAGCCCCCCCACCCCTTTACCCGCCCATTTCCCCCTTGCGGATGGGGCTCTAAGAAAGAGATCAAGCCCCGTCCCTCTGTTGTACAGAGAAGGGAACTGCGGGCTGAGGGGACGCAGCAAAGCAGGACTGGCATCTACACAGCCAGCCAGGCAGGGTGACGGTCCTGAAAGAGAGGGGGCAGGAACTGCCTGTACCTTGAACACCTTGATGAGGCAGCCAGCTGAGTGCAGGTGCTCAGGTGGCAGCTCCTTGTCACTGGGCTTGAAAGTGTCAATCTGGAGGCGGAAGGGGACACCTTTCTCTCCACCTTTTTTCCGAGGAGTGAACTCGGTGCTGATGCAGTGAACCTGGGGCAAAGAAGCAAAGAGAAAGCAGGGTGATCACAAGTCCCACCCAGTTCAAGAAAGCTCACCTAACACTTGTTACCTGCCTGTCACCTGTCAGCCTCTTACCACAGCAACTTGCCATCCCCAACCAGAGTTTGTTTCTGACAGCATAACTTTATTAGGTTCTTTCCCTTGTTCAAAATCCTTCAGTAGCTCCCCATGGTTATGGGTTGAGAAGCAAAGTTCCTCACCCTCATGTTGGCGCACCTTAAAGAATCAAGTCAAGCCTTTCTGCATGGCTACTCTCTCTCACCCATCAGTGAACACACTGCCCCACCTAGCCAGCCTAATCATGACGCCAACACACTTGCGTGGTTCTTCTTAGAATCTTCTACCTGGAAAGCGCTGCCCGCTCACATATAAGCCAACAGGTCCCATTCCAGGGTAGAGTTGCCAGTTAAAATACAGATGCCCAGTTAAATTTGAATTTCAGGTGAACAACAGGTAAATTTTTTTTAGCGTAAATATGTCCCAAATATTTCATGGGACATTCTTCTACTAAAAAGTTCTTTATCCGAAATTCAAGTTTAACTGAGTGTCCTGTATTTTATCTGCTAAATCTAACAGCCTACTCCAGGAAGCCTTCCTGGCTTCCACCGCACGCAGCCTGCAGCCTCTGTGTTCTGCCTGGTCCCAGGATTCCAAGGGCAAGCGGGGTCTTCCCCTCTGTTCACCCCCACTGCCCACTATAGCCCTCCCACAATCCTGCAAAGAACAGTTAAAGGGTCCAACTTTACAGGTGGGGAAACGAAGGCTCCCAGAGATCATGTGACCTGAGCAAGTTCACATGAGGGAGTGGTGGAAGTGAAATTGTGCCACATCTGCCTGACTTCCCAGTCCAGGTGCTTAGACCATAGCGAGCACTCAAAAAAGTGACATACGGGTGACTTTTGACAATATTGTTAGATTATAAAGGGAAATCTATTCAAGGAAATATAGAGAATGCTGAAGCTGGGTAAAGAAGAATAC